AGTCTTGGATATTCTATAAATGGAATTTCTCACTGTGGGATCCCATGGCCAGATGAGTCATTTGTTTAATAACTAAGTTTTTCTTTTATTTGAAATCTCTATATAATTGATAAAAATATTTTTATTTGATGATTTATTAAACTCTATAATTTTTCCTCTTAATAAAATATGTGTTACTTAATTTCACTCAAATATAATGATGTTAAAAATATATTTAATATATATTTAAAAACTCATCTAAAGTGCATACATCTTTTAAATTTAAAAAATATAAACATTATTATGGAGTTTCTCTTTTCATCATTTCAGACTGAAAGTTTTGGAATTGCATGATAATAAGTGAAAGATGTTAGCTTTATGTGTTATATTTTCTTTTATAAAATTATAATATTTTACATATTTATCATTGATATTCCCTTTTTACCTAATATTTATATTCATATTTTGAGAGTAATATTTAAAATAGAAATTATTCTATTAATACCATAAACATTATTTCTGTAGTTGTTTTTATAAATCTGAAATAAGATTATTATCTCCCTATATTCATGTATTTATATTTAAAATTAAGGCTTTATAACACTGTTATGAATGCTGAAATTTTATGATGATAAATGAATGGTAATGTTTTACTCTATACTGGGGTAGAGTAGAGTTTGATGATATATAAACTTTTCTTTATGCTAGAACTATAATATATCAGAAAATTCATGAATGGTATATAGAAGGTTTAATATAATATAATTAAATTTCTTTATATGGTCCATGTACTAATGTTGTCTCAATCATATTTATACCTTATTATGTTTTTCATGTATAAATGAAATGTAGGATAAAGTGGTAGAAAATTTATGATATTATATAAATCTTAAGCTACATCTTAGCCAATTGACATCTCAATATGTTTAATTTCATTTATATTTATATTAATAAATACCATAAGATTATTAATAAGAAAATATTTTACACAACAAATATCTAGAAATATTTACTCCTCTATTTTAAGCTATAAAATATCATATTTTAGTACATCTTTTCTTTTGTGTACTATATACCATCTTCGTACTAAAAAATGTTTAATTTTAATAATGTAGTATTGAGTTAATCAGATACTCTTTGTTCTATAAAGTTTTTGTTCTATAGAAGAAAGAGTATTTTATTGATTCGATACTATATTTTTAAACATATTTGAACATATTTTTGTTTTTAAAATATCGTATATAGTAGACATAATAAAAAAGTTCATCAATGAATACCATCTTTGTACAACTAAATGTTTAAAATCATTTGAACCTAGTGCATTATATCATCTTGGATCAGTTTTCCAATTGCCTTTTATATGTATTACAATATCACTTATGCCTCCTTGAATATTTGTTGAATTTAACTCTTCATTCTCTATTTCTTACCATTTTTTGAATGCATTAGCATAGGGATTTATCTCTTTTAATAATTTATCAAGACCACCCATTAGTTGCTCATTGCATTTATAATTGTTTTTTTTTTATAAAAAATTTATTTCCGTTTCTTGAGCAGTATTCTAAAATATTTCATTGTGAATAAGCTGCATATTTTTCATTATTTGGTTTGAAACTTCCAATATTATATTAAATTTATATATATAGATTAAAATAATTAGGGCCACCTACTGCAATGATCAATGAGGCTCTTTCGTTTAAATATATTGGATGATTAGCGAAAGATCTCGATTCAACTTTGGTCTTTATTTATATAGCAATAAATGTTTTACAATTCTTTCTTTACATTTCAACTCCCTCGTTTTCCTTTTCTTTCCAACTTGTTTTCATTCCACAGTTGTTCTCGGCAGCCACCAAAAATGTTTTCCAGCCATAGACATAAGAGATGTTGATGTCCAGAGAATACAAAAAAGAAAAACGCAAGCAAATGAAGTTAGTAATGGTGAAAAGGAAATAGAAACTTACTGCTGGCATTTTCTTTTAAGCCACTCGAACTTTCTTCATGCCCAAGTCGTTCTCAAGGCCGAGAGCACTCTTTTTTACACCACTCCTTCACAGCTTGTCGATCTTAATGCTGCAATTTTTGACAAATCCATGGGTGTTGCCAGTTGGCATAACATCTCCGGTTTCACATATTCTGCAAACATTGTTTTTGCCCATATTAGTTTCCAAAAAAATCTCCACATTAGTGGTAAAAGGTATGAATTCTTGATTTCCAGTAGCATTTGCTACAATTACATCCCCTTCTAAAATGGCATCCACAGTTTTCTGCTTTCTTTTGCGGCCCATTTCCAGCTAGTTATTTCAATTTGTATATTAGGCTAGTAGATTTCAGCAAAGTAGAATAGCTTTGGTAGGTGTTAGTTCTGTTTAGATCATCATGCAATGATGCAGTTTCTTATAGATAAGTTTTTTTGTTTTTTTTTCTGTTTTGTATTCAAGCAAACATAGCAATAGCACAATAGAATAGAGATTCTTGTATGTGCAGGTCACTCTTCTGAACTGTTTTCTGCCTGCACGCTTCCTTTTGAATGTTTTAAGCGTTTTTAGGATCGTGATCTGGAACGACATATAGACATTTTGTTTTTTACCTAAAACCTTTACAAGAGAGAGCAAAACACTAAATAAAATCAAACATGAAAATCATTTCTATGCCCTGAGTTAATGTACAAATATCATGTACCAAATCAAACCAAGCTCATGGCTTCAAAGTTGTGTCTATAAACACATACATACACAACAGTTTATTTAATGCTGTCTTATTCCTTCAGAAATGGTTTTTTTAAAAACAGTTCATGGCTTTGTCTGTAAGAAAGTAGAGTAGGCTGCCATGTAGAGCTCCAATCCTTGTTCTCCACCAAGCTGCCATGTACTTTGCTGTGGTGATATCTCCTAAAGGTGCTGATCACCACTTTGTCACACATGTTTAGCTTGGAAAGAATGTTGTCGAGCTTGAGATCCTGGTGAACCACGCCCCTCAAATAAATCTATTTGAAGGTCTTTACCAGCTGCTTGATGATTCTGGCTGCTTTCTCCTCACCAATCTTCTCACAAATATGCTATATTTAAAAGACCAAATAATTATGGAATAACGCCTTAAGAAAGGAAGGCAATATTTCCACCAACGAACGTAACCACTCGAGGAAAAATGCCCGTGCCCTGTCCAAAAGGAGACTCGGACAACACCACAAAGTCGGCAAACTTTCCTTGCGTCAGCGACCCAACCAAATCCTCCAATGCAGCTGCATACACACGGTTTGGCCTTTACTACGGCCTTTTGGACGTCCTGTGGTTTCCTCCTGTGATTTTTTCCTTCCTGGCTTTAGAGAGTAACTGAGGAGCCTGAGCAAAGCCAGGGTTGTACGAGAAGAGCAGCCCACAGAAGAGCTTCCCATCGATGGACGCTTCTAGCGTGTATCCGTAGTTGAATACATCGCTTTCTCTAGCCTCGAACATCTTCTCGCCTAGCGGCTGAACGTGAGCTTAAAACTCTGTAGCATGAGTTTGACAGGGAAAAATTGGAGAGGTCCAAGGTTTTCCACAGATACCTCCGTGAGATCTTGTCCGCATCCCGTTGCTTGTCTAGCACGAATGGCGTGGCACGATACTTTTGCCGCCTTCTCTTAAGTTCCTTACGCATGGATAGCTTTGGTTCTGATGGATCTTTCTCCCTCAGCATCTCTTCACATAAAAACAGCAACCATATTGTCAAGAATGGCAGCAATGTCAATAAAAGGGAAATACATGTCATCTAGAGCTTCAAGCTTTTCGTTACATCCCTCATAGAAGAATAATATGCCTCACTCTGCATCCACGGAATCTCCTGCAAGGGAGAAACGTGGAGAAGGCCAGGGACCAGAGGGATTCGAAGTCGCCCAAACACCAGTCGCTACAAAATACGTAAAAGCCCCATGAGAGACCAACAGAAAACAAATCTACCTACAAGTGAGAAACTTTCCATGGCTGATTGTTGTGTGCCCAGCTCCTGGCATCAGCTCGGCACCAGTCGTCTTTACCTCCCACCATGCCATTGTTTCTGGATTACCACCGTCCTCGCCACCTGTGACAACGAAACAGTTCTTATAGGAAGAGCAGGTATGGCTATCCCGAGGAATAGGTGAGACTCCAATGGTAGAAATCTTCTTCCAGACAAAAGTATCTATAAGAAAAAAAAAAGTTTAGAAGAAAACAAAGAAAGATAACAGAATATTACTCGTGTTCAAAACATGGAGGACGTTGTAGTACTCCTACTCTGAGGGATCGCTGGATTTCCCACATCCCCCAAACACGAACAGGTTGTCACCGATGAGAGACACGCTATGTCCTTCTCTTGGAGCAGGAACATCACCAAAAACGTCGGGTTTCCCCCAGGTGTTGGTAGCTGCATTGGATGATAAGAACGAGAAAAACAAAATGATAGAACTCAGAGCTTACCATTATCCAAAACAAAGAGACCATCGAGCATGCTGGTTCCATCAATACCACCAAACACATAGAGCTTAGACCCGACGGCCATGGAGCTGTGGCTGTCCCAAGGAGAAGGGTGCATTCCTTTCATCACAGGCTTGCGAGATTGCGAGATTGAGAGAGAGAGAGAGAGAGAGAGAGAGAGAGAGTACCTTCCCGCTAGCGATGATTGACGCTGTCTCCTCATGGATCTATGCTAAGTGCCAAGCTGGTAGGATCTTGCAATGCAGCTTATTACAGAATCTCAAGTAAAGCAAAAGCAATATAAAAATCCACATGAATTTTCTATCTTTGTCCATAAATGCTAGTGAATTGGCCAATAAAAATATAAGCTGAATTGGTTTTGAAATTTCCAACTACACACCTATCCCAAGCCAACCGCATGGAAGACTTAATGATAACAGAGAACGATCGGGTGAGTTGCGTGTGGCTGAAACCTATCCACTTGCTCACAAGGATCTCCTTGCACTTTAGTTATATAAATGACGGCACGGCTCCTCACTCTTTTCATCACACTAGGGGTGAAGCACCCCGTTGTTGCATCGGCGGGGATGATGTATGGATAAGTACGTGAATTGATTGAATGGGTTGCAATTACCATCTCCTCAGAGTTTTCAGCTTGCTGCTGGTCCTCGGTTGTGATTATCTCAAACATGGGGAGCCTTCAGCAGTCGATCCTCTTTGGCAGGTCTACCAAAAGTGGATGCAAGAGCATGGGAAAGCTTACAATAGTGCACATGAGTATAGAAAACGATTCCAAATTTTCAAGGAGAATGCCAACTACATCAACAGCCACAACGCACGGAGAAACAACAGCCACAGCCTAGGCTTGAACAAGTTCGCTGATTTGACCAACAGTGAATTCAGAGGCCTCTACGTCGGGAGGCTGCAGCGACCCGCGCCGTTCCACGAGGTTGGAGACATCGCGCTTGTAGCAGATACAGCAACAAGTGTAGACTGGAGAAAGAAAGGAGGTGTTACTGAGATTAAAGACCAAGGAGACTGCGGTAAGTCCGCTTGTGTGTGATGGTTTTGAATGTAGCTTGCGCGCTCTGGTTCAGGTAGCTGCTGGGCTTTTTCCGCGATTGCAGCAGTGGAGGGCCTGACATTCTTGTCCACTGGCACACTTGTTTCGCTATCAGAGCAGGAACTGGTGGACTGTGATACCACAGTGAACCAGGGTTGTGACGGGGGCATGATGGACTATGCATTTCAATACATGATCAGGAATGGCGGGATAACCAGCCAGTCGAATTATCCTTACCGAGCACAGCGGGGTGCCTGCGACAAGGACAAGGTGGGCAGACACAAAGGAGGCACAAAGTCTTTAGTGGTGATGATGCGCAGGTGAAATATCACGCAGCTACTATCAATGGCTTTCAGGCCATACCCCCGCAGAGTGAGGAGTTGCTGCTAAGAGCTGTTGCCAACCAGCCGGTGAGCGTCGCGATAGAGGCGGGGGGCCAGGACTTTCAGCTTTACTCGAGCGTAATGACTTGTCACCATAAGTTTTATATCCTCACCCTGTCCCTGTGAATGGTAGGGGGTTTTCACCGGAGAATGCGGCAGCAACCTGGATCACGGAGTGGCGATTGTAGGGTACGGGACAGACGCAGGCGGCAGACAGTATTGGCTGGTCAAGAACTCGTGGGGTTCGGGATGGGGTGAGAGCGGATATGTGAGGATGGAGCGGCAGGGTCCAGGCGCAGGGGTGTGCGGAATCAACCTGGACGCGTCGTATCCTACCAAGATTCAGCAACGCACAATCGTCGAGTAATGTGTGACACTGGAATATGAAGTGAATAAAATGCTCCAAATAAAAGCCCTATATAGCCTTTAATAAAGAGAGGAAAGTGGGGGAGTTTTCATGGAACAAGACGCTGCCGCTGTGCTCTTGCTCCTCTTGTGTCAGCTGCTGCACCTGCACCCCGCCGTTGAGGCGGCCCTCAACCAGAATGGATTCAACATCGAAGGTAAACGCGCTCTCTTTTGCTTGCTTGGGGTACAACCCTCGCTCGTGTGTGTGTCCCCAGTGTCCGCTCTCTTTGCCTTCAAGCAGAGCCTGGTGGATCCGCAGAACGCAATGTCGGGATGGGATAAGAACGCCGTTGATCCTTGCTCCTGGATTCACGTCTCTTGCTCCGAGCAAAACGTCTCCAGGGTGTATGTGTGCTTGCCTTGTCTGGTCTCCAACCCTTTGTTCCTTGCCTGCAGTGAACTCCCGGGGTTGCAGCTATCGGGGCAGCTCTCGCCTCGCCTCGCCGACCTCGCTAACTTGCAGTATCTGTAAGCTTGTGCAAGCACCAAACTTTCCATCTTACCCTGTGTTATTGATCGCAGGATGCTTCAGAACAATAACCTGTCCGGGCCTATTCCCCCCGAGTTTGGAAACTGGAGCAGGATCATCAGTGTCGACCTCTCCAACAACAACCTTAGCGACCCCATTCCTTCCACCTTGGGCAAGCTACAGACGCTGCAGTACCTGTGAGTCAGAGTCACTTGATGCCTCGTGTTTAGCGGCTAACTTTGTTGGTGTCAAGGCGGCTCAACAACAACAGCTTGAGCGGAGCCTTCCCCGTTTCGGTGGCCACCATCAGGGCTCTCGACTTCCTGTACGTTTTAGCTATGACTGAAACCAGGCCCAGGCCTCCTTTTGACTTTGACAGCCGTTTGTGAGTGTGGTGCGCACAGGGACGTGTCCTTCAACAACCTCAGTGGGAATGTGCCCAATGCGACAACAGCCAACCTCAAGTAAGTCTTGACTGTAGCACTAAGCAACCTTCTATTCATTCGCTCGCTGCAGTGTCAAAGGCAACCCTCTGCTGTGTGGCTCCAAGACGAGCAGGATATGTCCAGGAGACCCTCCTCGGCACCTGGAGCCATTGAGCCAAAGAGGTAGGCCACTCAAATGATCGCTTCATTTCAGCTTTTAGCTTGCAGTTGGATCGGGTGGGAGTGCAAGCCGGGGAGCTCTGGCGTCGGGACTGGCGGTTGCTGCATTTCTGCTCGCGTCTCTCTTGGCATTTGGAGCGGTGTGGTGGAAACGCCACCACAACCGTCAGGTCTTTTTCGACGTGAATGGTGAGCCCTGCCTTCATGTGACGGCCCTCACACGTGTGTATACATACTTGGCTTGCTCAGAACAACAGGATCCCGAGGTTGCCTTGGGGCAGCTCAAAAAGTTTTCCTTCCGGGAGCTCCAGACGGCCACCGATAATTTCGACATGAAAAACATCCTTGGTCGGGGCGGGTTTGGCATTGTGTACAAGGGGACACTGCCGGACGGGACCCCTATCGCCGTCAAGCGCCTCAAGGAGGGGTCCAGCAACGGTGGTGAGTATCAGTTCCAAATGGAGGTGGAGATGATAAGCCTAGCTGTGCACCGGAACCTTCTCCGCCTCAAAGGCTTCTGCATGACGCCAACCGAGAGGCTGCTCGTGTACCCGTACATGCCCAATGGCAGCGTGGCGTCACGTCTCCGCGGTACGTAGCCTTTGAAATGTTTGCGGTGCTCAAGGGTGGGGGGCTGGCAGACTTAATATGCGGCAAGCCAGCATTGGACTGGCCAACTCGGAAGCGCATCGCCCTGGGGTCGGCACGGGGTCTGTTGTACCTTCACGAGCACTGCGATCCTAAGATTATCCACCGGGACGTCAAGGCTGCCAACATTCTACTGGACGAAGATTTTGAGGCTGTGGTGGGGGACTTTGGCCTGGCAAAGCTGCTAGACCACCGAGAATCTCACGTCACAACGGCTGTGCGCGGCACGGTGGGTCACATTGCGCCAGAATATCTGTCGACGGGCCAGTCATCGGAGAAGACCGATGTGTTTGGTTTCGGCATTCTTCTGCTGGAGCTAATCACCGGGCAGGGAGCGTTCGACTTCAACCGCCTCCTCACCAACAAGGACGTGATGCTTCTCGACTGGGTGAGCCTGTCACCGAGTGCTATTGTCCTTGGTCTTCTAAGTGGCTGCAACAGGTGAAGCAGCTGCAACACGCCAACAACCTGGATCGATTGGTGGATGCGGAGCTCAAGGGGAACTACAACGCAGTGGAGCTGGAGGAGATGGTGCAGGTGGCACTGCTGTGCACGCAGATGTTTCCAGCGGACCGGCCCAAGATGTCGGAGGTGGTGAGGATGCTCGAAGGCGACGGCCTGGCCGAGAGATGGGAGGAATGGCAAAAGGTGGAGACTCGACGAAGCCGCGAGGCTCAGCTCATACCACGCAGGTACTACGAGCTCGTGGAAGATTCCAACTCCGACCTGGAAGCTGTGGACCTATCGGGGCCAAGATAGATATATTTACATGCTTCAGATCCATGTAAAGAAAGAGAGAGAGTTACGATTTGAGATTTCAGGTGTTCCGCACCCAGGCCTAGGTCAGGTATACGAGGGAGGATTGGTGGCGATGGAGCACGTGGGAGGCTACGTGGAATTGCGGCAGGCACCCTGGCCCTAGCTTGGTGGGGCAGGCGAGGCGAAAGATTGATTGACTCAGAGTAGCAGTAGCGGCATGGGCAGTCGGTCGCGGGTGAGTAGCACGCAGAAGAGGCTGGCGAGCCAGGCAATGGGCGAGGAGGAGGCCACCACATACGAGGACGCGACGGACGAGGAGGAATTCGAGGAATTGGAAGAGCCCGGAATGAATGGGGACGGCGAGCAGGCAGTGAGCGGCACTAGCGAGGAGGAAGAGGAGGAGGAGGAGGAGGAGGAGGAGGATGACGATGAGGAGGAGGAGGAGGAGGAAGAGGAGGAGAAAGCAGGTCATCGGCTACGCTACCAGCCGCACCCTTCACCGCCACCGGATGAGAGCAGTCGTCCCACAAGGGTATACGCGGATGGCATCTACGACCTCTTCCACTTCGGCCATGCTCGATCCCTTGAGCAGGCCAAGAAGCTGTGAGTAGTAGTATCTCCCTCTCTTCACTCTGTGTCTTCACTCTGGTTGGGGGCATTGTGGCAGATTTCCCAACACCTACTTGCTCGTCGGCTGCTGCAGCGATGCCCTGACCCACAAGTACAAGGGCAAGACGGTGATGAGCGAGGCCGAACGATACGAGTCACTACGCCATTGCAGGTACATATCTCATCTAGCTAGCACCTCCAGATTCCATGCTGCTCTCAGGTGGGTGGACGAGGTGGTCGAGGATGCGCCATGGGTTATCACTCAGGAGTTTCTGGACAAGCACCGCATTGATTATGTGGCCCATGACGCGCTGCCGTAAGTTTGGCTTTGGTGTTCCTGACTGACTGACACCAGCTGGCTAAATCGCTACAGGTACGCTGATACTAGTGGAGCAAGCAAGGACGTCTATCACTTTGTACGCGCTCGCGCATGATTTGGTTGTCGTCTCTGATCAGTTCCGCATGGTGCAGGTTAAAGCCGCCGGGAAGTTCATGGAAACCAAGCGAACGGACGGTGTCTCCACTTCGGATCTCATCATGCGGATCATCAAGGACTACAATGAGTATGTCATGCGCAACCTCGCTCGCGGCTACTCGAGAAAGGAGCTGGGGGTGAGCTACGTCAAGGTGAGAGACGAGGTGGCAAGCCTTTTGCCGGAGCTGATTCTGTGCTGGATCGCAGGAAAAGCAGTTGCAAGTCAACATGGGAATGCGGAAGCTGCGCCAGAAGGTCAAGGAGCAGCAAGAACGTGTTGGACAGAGAGTAAGTCGAGAATGTGTCAGCCCGCTACTCATCCCCGTCATGCAATGCACTGCGCAGCTCAACACTGTTGCCAGGACCGCTGGGATGCATCACAGCGAGTGGGTGGAGAATGCCGATCGCTGGGTCAGCGGTTTCCTGGAGAAGTTTGAGGAGGGGTGCCACGTCATGGTAAGCGGACACTTACCCGATGCGAATAGTGAGACCTTTGGCACCAGAATTCCCAATAATTCCATCCATTTTTTACCTTGTTGCTTGTTTTGCTTTCCCAGGAAAAGGCAATCAAGACGCGCATACAAACTGGACTCATGACACCCCGCCTGAGGAAGAGATCCACTGTAAAACTGCTCACCAATCCTGGCTCCGGGAAAGCCTTGCCGCACAACTGAGTGATTCTGATTTTGTAAAGGTAATCGTCTCCGCGAAAATAATGTTAGTAAGCTACACGCTTTTGTTGGGAGTGCTGAGGTTGGGAAGCGCCGAGTACGTTTGCATGTCTGGGTTGAAGCCTTTGGCAATCATCTCCTTGAAGAGTGTGTACGCGTCTTCCACTTGCCCGGCCATGCTCAAGCTCCGGATGAGCACGTTATAGGTGGCAAGGGCAGGTGTGTGCCCCTCCCTCACCATCTCCTGGAGCAGCTCCATGGCCATGCTCGTGTGGCCCCGCCGGCTGAAACCAAGCACCAAGATGGTATAGGTGATGGAGTCGGGGAAGCAGCTGCATTCAATCATGTCCTGAAACAGTTCGTACCCCTTGTCCACTTGACCGCTCCTACAGAAGCCGGAGATGAGGGCATTGTATATGTACGAGTTTGGAGCGTGGCCCATCTTCACGAGTCGAGCGCTTTGCTCAAGGGCGTCCTCCATTCTTCCAGCCTTGGCAAGAGTATCGATGAGCGTTCCGAAGGTCGTCAAGTCTGGCATGCACTTGTTGGCCTGCATCTCGTCGAACAGATCGCAAGCTTCGTCGGTCCTGCGCAGCTTTTTAAGGCCGTTGAGGAGAGTGTTGTAGGTGACCACGTCCGGAGAATGCTTCCTTCTCTTCATCATGCCGAAGAAGCTGTACGCCTTCTCATACCTCCCGCAGCTGCTCAGAACATCGATGACGATGTTGTAGGTGCGGCAATCTGGCATGATCCCTTTCCTGTTCATGTCCTCGAGCAGCTCTAGCGCTTCGTCAACTTTACCCTGCTTACCGAGGCAGCTGATCAACACGTTGTAAACAACGGTGTCGGGCATGCAACCCGCCTTTTGCATGTTATAAAACACCTCCAAAGCCTTGGCCGCTCTCCCTGCCTTTCCAAAAGCATCCATGAGGTAGCTGTACGTGAAAACATCCAGAACGACTCCTCCTTGCTCCGCCTCTTGAAAAAGGGTCAAGGCTTCCTCGAGCTGCTTTGACTTGCACAGAGCTGTGAGCAAGGAACCGTGCCCAGCTGATGAGAGGCAGAGCCCCTTCCCTTGCATCAGCCGCAAGTACCTGCGGGCATCCTCAAGCCCCCCGGCTTTCTTGCACAGAACCCTGATGAGGGAGCTGTACATCACGTCCTCTGACGCAAGGCCCACGCTTCTGGCCTCGCTGATCACCCTCTCTATGTCATCGCTCCTTCCTGCGTCAACAAGGCCGCTGAGCAGCAAGTCGCACGTGGCCACACTGAGCTCCTTCATCTCCAGAAACACGTTGCACGCCTCGTCGAATTTGCCAGCCCTGGCCAAGGCGGCAATCAGAGTGTTGTAGCCGGGCACCTCAATAGCACCGCCAGGGAATTCCCTCAGGAAATCCAAGGCCTCCTCCATCTTGCCGGCGTGAGCAAGGCAAGTGACGAGAACGTTGGCCATGTGCACCGTGGGGAGTACAGCGTGCTTGGCCATCTCAGCCGACAGCCTGTGGAAGTCGTCAATCCTGGCCGCCCTCCGCATGCCGTGCAGGATGCTGTTGAACGTGCAGTGGTCCGGTTGGCAGCCTGCTCGTTGCATTGTCGACAGTAGCTCCCACACTTTGTCCATGTTGCCAGCCTTGCCTTGAGCACCTATGAGCAGGTTGTACGTGAAGACATCCGGGACGCTCTCCTTGGTCATAGTGCTCTCGAAAAGCTGGGTGGCCTCAGCTAGCCTGCCACACCTGATGAAGCCTTGGATGATGAAATTGTAGTTGACCGCCGAGAGAGCACAGCCGTCGTGTCGGGCGAGTTCCATGAACGAGGCAACCTCATGCATCTGTCCTGCTCTGCAGTGCGCGTTGACAAGGATGCCATAGGTGAAGGCATCGCGGGCACAGGCATGCGCTGTCATGTGGTGGAGAAGGCGGCGGGCTTGCCGCAGCATGCCCAGCCGACAGGTACAGTGGATGAGGGTGTTGCACACGTTGACGTCGGCTTTAAGACCTGCGCCGAGCATCTCCTGGAAGACGGCGAGCGCGTCAGTTGCTCTGCTCATCTTGCACAAGAAGATGACGAGTGTGTCGAAGGAAACGGCGTTTGGCTTGCAGCTGCCCTCCTGCTTGAGCCGCCGAAACATGTCGAGCGCCCGGTCCCCGTCACCGGCCTTGCAGTAGCCAGCAATCAGGGTGTTGTAGGCGACAACGTCGGGGGCGCAGTCGCACGTCTCCCTCATGTCGTCGAACAGTGTCATGGCCTGCTCCACCCTTCGCACCTCGCACAGCCAGTGCATGGCGGCGGTGAAGGCCACCGTGTCCGGCTGGCAGAAGTTTCCCCGCCTCATGTCATCCAGCATGCCCATGGCTGCGTCCAAGTCGCCCGCCCTGCCAAACGCCTGGATGCATTCCGTGCACGTCACCTCCGACAGGCCAACACCCTTTTGCCTCAGCTCCGCCAGCAGCTCCGCCAGAAGCTCCGTCCTGCCCAGCTTGCAAACCTCCTTGACCATGGCGGTGGCCGTGTGCGCGTCAACCGGCAGGCCCGCCTTGAGCAGGTGCTTGTAGGTGGCCAAGGCCATGTCGAGGCGCTGCTCCTCGAGAATCACTTTGACCAGGCAGTCGTGGGCAAATGCGTTGAACTTGAAGCCCAAGGCTCCCAGCCTGATGAAAGCTTCCACGCCACCTTGCACGCCACCGCGGCCGAGCATCATCTGGGCCAAGCTGCCAAACGTGTCCTTGGTGAGGGGGACGTGCTGAGCTTGCATCTGGTTGACGAGGCGGAGCGAGAGCGTGAGCTGCTTGTCCCGGCACAGCAGCTGCAGCATGAGGTTGTAGACGGTGCTCGTGTGCCTGAAGGTGGCGCGCGTGCCCGCCCACTGGAAGAAGGCATAAGCGGCCTGGACGTGGGCGCTGAGCTGCTGGAGCACCCGGGCAACCAGCTTTGTGCTGATATCGTACCTGGCGCCCAGGGACTCCATGTCGCCTCGCACCTCATGCTGCTCCTTGACGAATCTGCTTATTTCCTCGGCGCTACACGCCAGGGCCTTGGCGCTGTTGCCCTCCTCCGCCACCACCACCAACGACGCGGCTCTCACCGTGCTCTTGCTGCTCCTGGTGGACGCCACCCACTGCCTGCTGCTCCCGCCGGGCACCACTGGCAGGCAATGCCAATGCCATGCCACCACCGACATTGGCATGCCCTAGTCCTAGTGCTACTAGTGTCACTAGGTGCCCAGGGTATGGCGGGAAGCAGCAAGCCGACGCTGGTGCGCATCAAACGCAAGCGCTGCCATGAGCCCGTGGACCTCCTATGTAAGTCTCAGCTAGCTACGCATTGCTCTGCCGCTCCCAACCAAAGGCATCGCAGGGCTGGAGCGCAGTGCTACAAAGCGTCGCGGGCTTGATGCCGATGCCGCCAACTTGACACTGCTGGACGCTCCCCACCCCTCAGGTAGCCAAGCTACTTGCTACGTGCACATGTCGCTTCTTTCTTCCCTTCCCCCCAGGTGGCCAAGGAGGAGGAAAGCTTCTCTTTTGCCGGCTTCAAACTGTCGAGGCGTCACAAGTCAAGGATGCGTCCCTGTCAGAGTCTCTCATGGTGAGTGTGCTGCGCACCATCTGATCCGAACTGATGGCTGTGGATGGATGCTTGCAGTCCGAACTTTCTGCAACCAGGCAAGAGGCAAGGAAGAGCGGTTTCAAAAGAGCCAAGACGCCATCTGCATCTGCGGCTGCCAGGGAGCAGCACGAGGTACTTCCGCCGGCCCAAAGCTGCTGCCTGTGCTACAGCTTGTTTGCAGAGAGACGCCAAAGCCGCGCGCTACAAGCAGGTGTGGAAGAATCGACTGGGTCTAGAGAGCGAGGACGTTATGCCCCAGTTTTTTCACCTCTACGATGTAGTTCGAACAACAGGTGATCAGGAAGCGAGAGAGAGGTAAGCTGGCGCTAATGCCAACCAGGATTACCCAGCACGAAAAGACAGGGATCGCGAGGATAACGAGCTGCTGATGAAGTACATGCCACTCCTTAAGGAATTTTGCCCTGAAAACTTTCCTCCCGCCGATGCCTCCACCGGTTAGCGTCCATGCATACGAGGCCTCACATGTGCCAAGCTTGTCTTGCAGAGGAGTTCGTGTACGACGTGTATGCACAGCAGGCGGGGCACGAACAACTAGATGTGAACGAAGAAGATGACTTACTAACGTGAGCCATTTCCTTACCCTCGGTTTGAAGATTTCCACGGGGACAAATTGCAGGTTGCAAGTGAGCGATTCGTGTGCCTTTGGATTAGAGGAACAAGTCGATTCCGACTATGACAGCGAGGACTCAAACCGTAATGTTTCGTGTGGCCATGCCTTAAGGAGCGCCTGACCTCTAGATACGTTACAGGTGAGGATCGCCCCGAGTGCGACTATCCTGACGAAGAAGACGGAGATTGTTCCGAGGACGAGCTAGAAGACTCGGACCCTGACGACGAGAAGATCAGCGGCAGCAGCGATGATGAAGAGGACACAAACAAGTATATTTGGAAAAGTCGCAGGTGATGGAATCTACTGGTTTTTCTTTCTTGTTGAAAGTGTTTCCAAGGTGATTTAAGCAACGGGTAGCACAACGGGCTCTTTGATCCGGGTGTCCACCCCAGATGGAGGGAGGTCCAGATGTTTGGGCAGGATGGGATAATTTCCAGAGAAGCAAGCGTCACAGAAAGTTGGTGCGCTGTGGCCCAGCATTCCCCTCAGCCTCTCAAGTGGCAGGAAGGCGAGTGAGTCGGCCCCAATGAAGGCGCACGTCTCGTCAATGCTCAGCTTGTGCGATATGAGCTCTTCCCTGGAGGGCGTGTCGACGCCGTAGTAACAGGAGCCCGTGATAGGGGGGCTAGCAATCCGCAGGTGTACCTCCTTGGCGCCCGCCTCCTTGATGAGCCTCACAATCTTGGACGACGTTGTACCCCGGACAATGGAATCGTCCACCACCACCACCCTCTTGCCCTCGAGGACTTCCTTGACCGGAGAGAGCTTCAACTTGACCCCGAAGTCCCGGATCTTCTGGTGCGGCTCGATGAAAGTCCGTCCCACGTAGTGCGAGCGGATGAGCCCCTGCTGGAACGGGACGCCCGACTTGTAGGCGTAGCCCAGCGCCGCCACCATCCCCGAGTCTGGGACTGCGATGACTACGTCGCAATCCACGGGTGCCTCCTCGGCCAGCACCTCGCCAATCCTGTACCTGGTCTGGTACACAGACAGTCCGAAGACGACCGAGTTGGGCAGCGCAAAGTAGATGTGCTCGAAGATGCAGGCCTTGCGCTCCTTGTGTGGCATGAGGCAGAGGGAGCTGACGCCGTCCCTGTCAACCACGATCACCTCCCCTGGGTTCACCTCCCTCTGGAATTCCGCCTCGATGAGGCCCAGGGCGCACGTCTCGGACGCGAAGACGACGGCGCCGTTGCTCCGGCGGCCCATGACAAGCGGGCGGAAGCCGTAGGGGTCCCTGGCCGCCACCAGCTTGTCCTCGGTGAGAAAGACGAGCGAGTAGGCACCCTCGAGCTGCTCACAGGCGTGGACGAGGCGAGAGATGAAGGGGCGCGCCTTGGAGGTGGCGATGAGGTGCAGCACAACCTCGGTGTCGGAGGAGGTGTTGAAGATGGAGCCGCTGTCCTCGAGCATGATGCGGAGCTCGTTGTAGTTGACAAGGTTGCCATTGTGAGCCACGCCCACAGAGCCGAAGCGGTAGCCGGCGACAAAGGGCTGGACGTTTTTGAGTACCGAATCACCGGCGGTACCATACCTTACGTGCCCGATCGCCGATAAGCCGGGGAGCTTGCTCAGCTTGGAGTGATTGAACACCTCCGACACCAGCCCCAGCCCGGTGATCCCCTTGAGCTGCCCACCGTCACACGACACAATTCCCGCGCCCTCCTGCCCCCTGTGCTGCAGCGCGTGCAGCGCCAGATAGCACAGCCTGCTCGCATCGCTGTCGCCGTAGATGCCCACCACGCCGCATTCCTCCCCCCACGCCCGCTCCGCCGCCGCCAGCATGGGCTGCTCCTCTTGGTGCTCGCATGACCATCGGGCAGAGCATCTGAGACTGATACCTCCTCTCGCCTGAGCTGCTGCAATCCTTGGTTTGCTCCAGCCGCCGCTGTGCCAGGGGAGAAACAAGGAGGTGTTGCTGCTACCCGCTGCCATCCCGACGGCGGCGGTGGCTGCTGCTAGAACCATGGCTTTTTTAGGGCTGGCGGTGTGGACAAGAGAGATATTCTGTGATGGCGACGGGATCCCCTCAAGAAACGCACTGAGATATTCCCTGCGCACAAACGGAAGAAAGATAACCCCCAAGAAGGCCTACTTGCTCCTGGGTGCCTGGGATCTTGAGCCGTATCTAGTAGCAGTGCAAAGAAAAGGAAAGCCTCTCTCACACAACATTATAAGTTGTAATAGCAACAGCAGCAGCAGCAAAGGAGCAATGACGGTGGCCGCCGTGGCTTCATCCAGTTTGCTCCTGTGTGAAGAATCCATGTCCCACAGCGACGATGGCACCGCCATCTTGGGATTGGATCGGCTGGCAATGTCGGGGGAGCGTGGTGAAGACTTTCACCAGCCGTGCCAGCTAGATTGCGCGCTCCAATTCGGGGAATGCATGGCACTCCTCGTCAGCCAGGAGAGTGTGGGACGCTATCTGCCTTGCAAGCTCTTTGTGCGACAGCTGCTCCTGGAGCGATCGCCCCTCGTGGAGCTCCGCCGTGCAACTGTTGTGTGGATACTTGAGGTGAGACTGTGTGCAGCATTGTGAAGCGCGGAATTGAGATAACCAGGAGCTTGTTTCAGCTCCGAAGTCTCCTGCGTTTGGATGTCTCTGTGGCTGCCAGCGCGGTATCAATGCTGGATCGGTTTGTTTCTTCGAGCTCTTGTCAAGTGCAATCGAGTCACTCTCCGCTGCACCTGAATCTGGCGGGCCTGGCTTGCATGTGGCTGGCTGCCAAGTACAGTGGCAGCCGGGTGCTCGACTTCTGGCACCTAAAGGTACCCCCTCCCTCCCAGTGCGTCCCCCTGCTCTAAGATTGCTGGATGTGGTTGGAGCGCAGGGTGCTGCTGCCAAGGTTGGGTTCGATGCTGCCAGCATCCGGCGCATGGAGCTGATTGTGCTCAGGTCGCTGGGATGGTCGGCAGTCACGCTCACCCCCCACGACTTCATCTTCAACGCCATCCGGCACCTTGCCAGTAGCGCCGCATTTCCCACACACACACTCCACTACTTCTTCTCCAGGGCCGATGAGCTCGTGGCTGGGCTCCTTCCAGGCATGGCTGCGTGCAATGTCCGAACATATATGCTAATCTCGACCGCCTTGTCTTGTCTTGCGCAGAGGCAGCCTTCTTACAGTACCAGCCATCTGTGATCGGCAGCTGCATTCTTCAGTGTGTGCTGGATGAGAGCATCCCCGTGCAATCAGCCGACTTCATGGATCGTCTTCGGACAACGCTGGCGGTTGACATGGTTGGTACCGTTTATAACAACAAAACCGGACAAAATAAAATCAAAGAATTAAAAGGACCTACCTTGCCACCAAACGCCTCTTTCACCTCTCTTGGCTCTTGTTTCACTGTCCTCTTGAAACAGATATCGTCTTGGGATTGCTACCAGTTGCTCATGGACCGCGTCGTCGATCCAGAGGACTGTTGTTGCGCCGCCCCGTCGCCAGATCATGTTGCCGGTGCGCACCTCTCACATTTGGACCAAATTAACAAGGTTGTCACGAGATGATTAAGAAAGAAAAAGATTTGACCTTTAGATCCCAGCGGTCCGAATGGGCGGTCCTTAAACTTTTGCCCCTTCGCAACTGCCGTGCGTTCAGCTGGCACAGATTTAGGGCTCTCAACTAGCGCAGCACATCAGGATGGTGCGGCGCGACAAATATGTCAAGGCCATGCCTGGCTACGGCGGCCATGTGCCCTGCATGCGCAACCACATTGTGGGGAGGAGTTTCTCGGATTCCACAGTCCGTGCGTCGCAGTGCGAGAAGGCGTTTCGGCGGGATGATTATGCGAGTGTGGCGCCTCTGGTATGTGTCGGCCGCTCATCACGCACAATTTAGCACGGAGACCGGTGCTGTGGCAGACTGTCGAGTCCCGGCCGCAAGGGAGGGACTTTCTCTACGCCCAGACCGCAAAGACGGGATACGAGCTCCTGGACAAGAGGGCGCTGGAGCCTCGCATCAGCAAGAAGCGGCCATCCGGTGCGCTCTTCCATGCCACGGGGCGCCTGGATGTGCGCGGCATGGAGTGAGTAACGAGCACGGGAAGTCATGTTTATAATGGACATGTTTCGTGTACAGGAAAGTGGCAGGAACCACTGAAGAGTGTGTCACCAAGACCGTCAAATCTGCATCACTTCCCGTTGCACCATACAGAGATCCCACCCTGCAGCTGCGCAAGTCCTTCCACAAAATGAGCTTGGAACAGCCCGAGATCCCCACGGTCCCGGGCTACACAGGTCACCAGGTCTCTCTCTCTCTCTCTCTCTCTCTCTCTTTGCATCAACACAACATGGATTCCACCTCTTTGTGATGCAGCATGGGTCCCAACACATATTCGGCAAATCTTATGGCTCAAGCAGACGAGAAATCATCACGGACCACTGTGTCCCAGACAAGCCCACTGTCAAGGAGCTCCTCTACTATTGGGACACGCGGCCTCAAGGCAAGCAGACCGCCGACAAGCACAGGATACCCGGTTACCAGGTCTGATATGTATGTTACGTAGTGCAATCATCAAGCAACTTTGGCTTCTACGGCAGGGGTATATTCCCAGCAAGAGCAACCACGTCTTTGCTAAGACGGCCGGAGCGGCCTCAAACTTGGCTGCCTTGGCTGAAAATACCTTGAGAGAGCGCAAGAATGCCGGCAGCCTGTACGAGCTTGTCGACAATCCACCACAGGTGAGGCATGCATGGGGCAAGCGTCTAACTCTGCTTGTTCCTTCCTCCAGGGGAAAGTCGACCTCTACGCACAAAGTCAGGAGCGCTTCTTCGAAGTGGAGCCTAGGCCCAACTATATAAGAGTGGACAAGAAAACGACCAGGGTAAGCAAGATTATATAGCGTGCTCCTTTATTTCTCTTGTGGGATCCATGCAGCCGTCCATGTTTGAGCTGAGGCCCGACTACAGGGTGAGGTTGAAAATCTTTGATGACACTCGACAAGTGATGGAAGGCAAGCACCATGTCACGGGATACACCGGGCACGTCCATGCATCACAGGTTCGCGTCTTCATCCTCGCTTTGTGTGCGTGCCGCTCAGACTCTACCCCTTTCCGTTGCAGCACTTGTACGCCAAGTCGTACGGCAAGATCTCCCGAACGCTGCATGAGAAGCCAGCTATCCCGGAAACGTCGGAGCAGTACTTGAACTTCGCTGATTCTCGCGCGCTCGTAGATCAAGTCGACGACGTTACCATTTCATAGCACGGGACACGCTTTTGTACAAATCCAGAAAGACGAGTTTTGGTTCAAACCTGTTGCTTTCGGAGCATCCAGCCTTTGGCACGCTCTAGCATGGAATGCCCTGCTCAACAAATGGTCAGAGGTAAACAGCTCAACACCGGCCTGCGTACCTGGGTTGTTGTTTTTGGCTCCAAGGGATCCGTTGCCCGCGGACCAACTCCGCCTCAAACTGGTGTTGCTAGTAAGGAGGTTTTCCTTCTCCGAGTGCTTACGCCGCTTGGGTGAAGTCGACTTCGCTCTACTCGCGTTCTTGGACAGTTTAGAGTAGTGTTGACCACGCCCAACACCTTGCCTCTTCTCCTGAGTAGCATCCTTGCACGTCTTCTTGCTTGCCTCTAACACCTTCAAAGGCCGCGGATTACTATGCTTCCAGCTATGGCCTGTGGCAGCGATCTCGGAGTGCTTGTCTCCACGAGAAAAGTGCGCTGGAGGAACCGGTAGCCGAGAACCAAGGGAATAAGTGACTGTCTCCGTCGCGAGCCGTGGACGAGTAACTGGTTTGTTCTTTGAGGGCAAGCGGTCAATCAGTGCCGGAAGCGACTTGACAGGAGATGTCTGTCCCTTCTTACCACGAAGCAATGGCACTTTCTGCGCTTTGTCCACTCCAGTCTTCTTAGCAGCTGGATGCTTGAACGGAGCTAATACCCTGAAATGCTTCGAGCTTGGCGGGCTTGTCGTCTCGTATGCAGGGTTTGGAAACATAACTGCATTCGACTGTGTGGACTTCATCTGCGACAACTTCCAACTCTTCTGAGATTGTTTCACCTTTGTAACCTTCATGGATGGTGCCGCCGCTGGTGCTGGTGCCTGTACCGGTGCCGGTGACGCTACTGGCAGGGCGTTGAAGGTCTGAAGCTGTTCAATCTTGTCGAACTCCTGGATGCCCACTCCACTATGCAAAGTAGCCGAGGCATCCCCTTTGGTTTGGCTATCTGCATGACGCCTGTCACGCTGTATACTTGCAGAACCCCGCCTTGCTTCAAACACTTGCGATACCCCACCAGAGAGTTCCTTTGCGTTCTTGGCAGCCGCGAGAAGATCCGAGAGTACCCGATGCACAGACTCAGCCGATTCTGACCACTGCGTCCACTCAGCTACATACATCACGAAGGAGAGAAGTGTAAACCAATGGATCCCAGACAAACATTTTGGCGACAAACCTGCATTGGATAGCTTCGCCATCGCATCGTCATCGAGTCCAACTCTGCAGCAGAGAACACTGGGAAATCCTATACAGCACAGAAAAGCCGCTACCTTTGGAGTCGCGCGCCATCGCTTTTGGGGCTTTTGCAAGAAACAGCCATCCTGGTGACCTCGATCGCGGTCTGCAGCTGCTGCAGCCGAGCTACAATCTCATCCACCTGCGCGACCCGCAGATTAGAGCCTTGCGGGCGAAGGAGGCGCTCACCTTGTCAAGGGCCCTCTGGATTGGCGGAGGCTGATGCGCTTCCATGGACGCCGATCAAACTAGCCCTTCCGCCCTAAGCCTGGCTCGAGGTTTAAAATGGGGTCCTGCCCATTCGCCCTAGCCCAACGGCTTTATTTTGCTTTCGAGAGGATGGATGCTAGATCGACGCTTGGTATGGTGAGAGAGGAGGATTTCCTTGCGCGCAAGCTCGACATTCAGCTGGATTACTGGGCAGCGGAGAAATGGCAGCTGGAGAATCGACTTCTGGTGGTATGTTTTGTCGATTCATTCGAATGCTAGGGCTTAGGGGCTTCTCTTGCAGGGAGAGAGAGCTCACAGGCATACGGAGGCTTTTCAAAGCTATGAAAATGCGCAGCTTGCCCTCACACTGGGCCTTCAGCAGCACGAACTTTTTCTGACCAAGCTCAAGCTGGGTATGTTAACGACGTACATCCTTCGCGCATGCTCAAAACCTTGCAATGACAGATAGCGCTGTGGACGATCTTACGCATTTCCAGACCCGAGTGACACTACTGGAGAGCCAAGTTCGACTAGAAAAGGTGCTTGCCTGGTTACTCCTTCGCTGTAAGATTAATTGCCATACATTACGCAGGAAAAGGTTGAGCGGCTCAAGCAGCAGCAGTCCCTCGGTGGACAATCCGTCTTAGCAACGAAGGAAGCGGAGTTTGTGGATAAGTTGCATGATGCATCACAGCAGATTCAGGATCTTCGGCTGGAAATCCAGGGGTTGAAACTCGGCCATGCCACAGAAATGACCAAAGTTTCGAAGGAGTTGCAAGCTCTTCTCAGGGAAAGGGACTTCGTGTGGAATCAGCTGAAATGCTTGGAGGCCGATTTTTGCTGCCGCCTGAAAGAAAAAGAAGCGGTAGTGCTCGCTAGTCAAGAGGACATCGCGAAGCTTCGAGAGTGTAACGAGTTGGCGCAGAGAGTTGGTGATGAAAGAGCAGTGGAGCTGACGATAACGAAGATGGAATTGAAGAAAGCAGAAGATGAGTCCCTGGAGATGAAAAATATGGTTGCCGAACTCATGTCAGAGAAGGTGCAAACAAGCGCAAGCGATGAGCTACAAAATGCGTACAGAAGGCTGGAGGAGGTAAGGCTGGAAAATAGGAACCTGAAGGAGTTGTATGCTGAACTGGAGGCCAAGCATGACGAAAAAAGGGTTCGCAGATTTAATTTCTCTGCTTGCTTTTCTTACTGTTCTGTTTCTTCCAGAGGCTGGACAAACCCGTGAAAACTGGAAAGAAGGACGTCACTACTCGCAACTTATCGTCGGAAATGGAGGCCGTCGCCGCAGGAGAGTCTGGGCAATGCAAGCGCTTGCGCTCGCGCTCTCGAAAAGCCAGAGGAGAAGGGGTACACCTCCCTTCAAGCAAAGTTATACTTTTTCTAACACAAAATGCAGGAGAAGACTGCAAAGCGCACCAATCGTGGTGAGAACACTGGAAAGCGACGCCAGGTAGTGAGAAATGCGCATGAAACACTCATCTGACTATTTAATTTACAGAACAAGACTTCAAGCTCCAGTGGCGGAAGGGTTCTAAGAGCAAGAGACTCGAGTGGCAGTGCCACAAACACTAGCTTTTTCTCAGCCTCGTTTAGTATTCCAAAGGTAAAGAATACACTCGCAGCGGTGAGATAACAACGATCATGACAAAGAAATCTTCCTCTTGGGCAGTCGTCTTCGTAAAATAGATGAGCCGGTGCCTTCAACTACTTGACTTGTGCTCAGATAGGGGCACATGTATCCTTCCACCTGGTTTGTTAATTATACAACAACATTCTCTTTGTTGAAGCTACAACGAACCTGTAGTAGAGTAGCAGGAACGTCCACGCGACCTTGCAGTATAGTGTCCACTCCCTCGAGGACGTTTGGCGAGCATGGCGTAAGAATGTACAAGATGCGCCGGTCAGCATCGATAGCCCGGACAATACCTGAAAAAGGCGGACAGCTCACTCGAATGCTAGCTGAAGAAACGCCACTCACCGAAACCAACGCATGGGGGTTGCTCTTCTCCAGTGTGAGAGCTGGTAGCCAAACCAACAAGTTGAGCATTCAAGCCGAACAACTTCTGAGATAGTGGGACCTGTCCAAATCGTATACAAGAGTTGAGTTTACATGGAAGACCAGTCTGGAAGTCTCAACCTGGACATGAAGATGCACGATGTTGAGATCATCCGCTGAAACTTGATAAGGACCCTGGCAGGCTAGTGTTCTTGCAACTTCCTCAAATCGAAGGCCAAGCGAAGAATCGATTCTATCGTAATCATGGAAGTAATGCACCACTCTGAGAGCTCTAAGCTGAGCAGCCGTCCTGACAGCACTAGGCAAGAATTAGTTCCACATGATGGTGAATGCGAAAGAAGCTGAGTGGCATACCGGTCAGGCTCAGTCGAGCAGGAGAAAGCGCGTTCTAGATGAAGGACGGAGGCAATGCCATCAGGCAGCGGCGGAACACTCTCATGGTCTGCAGAGTGGATCTCTACCACATGCGTGGGCGTCGAATAACGCAGTATATCAACCAAGAGGTCGTATCCGACACCTTTGGAACGCAAAGTTAGAATACATGACAAGCGAGAAAAATCCTGGACCTGCCCGCCATCCAAGCGAGTTGATGACCAGCGGAATCTCAAGAGCGGCCCGTCGAAAAGAGTCGTAAAGATCCTTGAAGTATTTGACATATGCCTTTGGATCCGATTGTGGAGTTATGTCACCGTAGAAGAAGCACCTGAAAGATGCGGGTATGCGGGTCGGAAACGCAACATGAAAGTCGGAAAATATCATAAAACCTTTGCGGGACACGTAGGTGTGAGACGGGAGAGCCTGCAATGAAAAACATGAGAAAAGGAACGATTCCAGAAGCGCTGATCCTTGCCAGTGATCGGTTCTTCAAGAACGTGAAGTGATAAGCATCCTGGGATTGTAAACTCTGGCTGGCCAACGTCGGCGTCGAGATATGCAACAGCTTTGTACCTGCATGAGCATGAGCGAGCCAGGTCTAAGACAAATCAAGAATCCACCTGGTCAGCAATCTGTTGACGAGGAAACGAGCAAAAGTCGACTTTCCCACGCCTTTCCCTCCGCAGACTGGAACAACAGGTGGAAGCCTGTCACATACGGACATTATCAAGTCGGCAGTGGACGACCACTCGCAAGGTATAATGGTCGGCCGCATGCGCTTCTGAGCTCCTTCCACAACGTCACTGCTTATTTGTTTCCTTTTCCTGGATTCAGCATTTTGGTCAGAAGATGAGCGGGAGTCATCGACAATTTCCTGCAAACAGAAGACTTAAGGTGTGCCGGTCTATGTAACACAACTTACGAGAGTAAAAGACAGCGAGTCGTCATCCGGCTGCTCGAGGCTGCAGGAGCTGAAACGGAGGACGCACCCGCCTTGGCTCGTCTGGAATGTTAAAGCCGAGCATAGCGTCGAGCAAGATTTCACAAGAACTTCCGTGGCCCGAATAAGGGAGTAACCATGCATGGAAGCACTTCCTTCGGTCAGGCACACCATGGCACATCCATCAAACGCAAGAGTCTGCCAGATTCACAAGCGATCATGGGAGCGTCTCTCGTTGCTTGCGTACCTGGTTGGCCGCAAGCCGGACCATGGCTTTGTTGTCGTCCACAAGTTGAACGCTGCAGTAGAGTTAGGAGGTGGAGAACAACCAGAGCACCAGTACCAACCTGACGGCCTCTTCACTGATGGGGTGAGCGTTGCTCGCGGCCGGGGAAACCGTGCGCCTTCTCGTCCGGTCTTGCTTGCTGGTAGCGTGGTCCGCTCGCTTGCGTTTGCATGGGAGGCCCTTGACAAAGCACCGAGCGGCGAGGTTGAGGAAAATGCTCCTGCTGTCGGGCAGGAGGCCTTTCATGGCGGTGGTGGGAAAGAGGGGAGGAGGGGGTTACAAAAGTGCTTAAGCCTGGAGTGGTTTCTCGTACGTGTTCTGGTCCCTAAACTCCTGAAGCCGCTTCTGGATCATGTCCACGACATTGGGCTGCACGAAGATGTTAGTGTCATCCAGCACGTAGATGATAAACTGCTGGGCCGCGGGGAGCTGCTCGTTCATGTGAATGACAAACTGCGCCATGGGTATGTCGCTGCACGCACCACGGCCACGGCCATCAAGCGCAAAAAGCAGCGGGCAAGTGTGACGCACCAGCTCACCAGGACGCCCTTGATCGCCTGCACCATGGCGCCGCCCACCTCGCGCACGCCTACCTATAAGCCCTAGCTCCTCCTAAAATCTCTGTACAAGAATAAGCCTAGCTAGTCCCCCCACTTTATCACGGCTGCGACTTTGTGGGAAGGATGGTGTCCGCCAGCTCCCTGTTGATTGCAATCTGGAGCGGGGGCATGTGGCTCATGATCCCCGATACATTAGACATCCTGCCATGGAAAGAAAAGCTGGATTAAGTTCTTTCAAGCCAGAGCGTGTATGTATTTATGTACCCGTCGAGGAGCGCTTCCAGGTTGTCCCGGAACTTGGCCAAGAGATCCGTGTTCTCCTGGGCCTGCATCGCACCGCCCTTGTCAAGAACCAGGACGTCAAAAACAACAGCGACATACCTTGCCAGCAGCCAGGTTGGCTCGTATCTGCACAACCACTTGGAGGTTTTGGTCAAACAGCTCCCCGGCGGTGCCACCGATTGCTGCGGGAAACAAGCACAACGTCAGGCATCGAGAGTGAAGCAAAGCGGACGAACCTTCGTTTGAAATACCATCGTCGGCATCAATAGGAAGGGGCGTGGTAGAGTACATGGGCATGGAGCCGGTGTTGGTGCTGGTGTTGTTGTTGTTGCTGTTGCCGTTGCCGCCGGTCTTGGCCAGAGCTGCTGTTGATGGCTTCACGTCTACAGTCTTATCCTGCCCAACGACCAACCAACGATCCAACGAGGGCCAAAGAAAAGAGACAAATGCTCACCTTCTTGTCCTTGGATTTCTTGGAAGCGTTGTGTTGTTCTTCGGCCTTCCTCCTCTTGCCGACCTCCTTCTTCTGCAAAGCCCCCACAAGTCAGTGTGAGCTCCCCGGACAAAGGAAGAAAACAACTCACGGCCATCCATCGGCATCGCAGAGCAACGTCCCTCACGCTCTTGTCCGACAAAAGGGCTGCGATCTTGATGTACTTCCACACGCCTGCCTCACTCCCAAAGCTGCAAGGAGAGCACACAGACAGAGGTTACGAGGAGGAGATACATGGAGAGAGGGACTGACGTGTGGAGGCTCTCGTCCAGAATGGATTGCTCCTCGGCGCTCCACTCAACAGCCAGGCCTGGATTGTGAAGAAGTTGGTGCTTGGAATCTCCGGGCGTTGGTGCTGCGCATGGTGGAGGAGGAGGAGGGGGATGAGTGCGAGCTCCATTGGCCATGGCCGTAGCAGCAGACTCCGATTTTACGACAAGGCCAACAGCAGTAGCCATTGTCCTATACTATTCCCGCCATAGCCCTAGCTCTAGGGCAGAGTAAAGGGGAAGGATATACTTTATGATGGCCTCCTCCTCCTCTTCCACTGACACATCGCCCCTGGTAACTTCTCGCAGCGCCCAGAGCTCCGAGCAGGTGCTGTGCCGGATCTGCTTAGACTCGACAGGTGAGTGAGCGCGAGCGAGTCGCGATCTAGGTTATACAAATTATTCATTTCGTTCAAATTTTGATCAGGCCATGACTTAATCGCACCTTGCCGCTGCAGAGGGACTCAGAAGTTTGTCCACAGGTCTTGCCTCGATAGCTGGAGAGCCGCCAAGGTGAAGCCTCGCTCACCATTTTCATTCCTGAATCGTCACTCAAACGGAGCGTGCAGTGCAGGAAGGATCCGCATTCTCACGCTGCACGGAATGCCGAGCGACGTTCCACCTGCGAGCCAATGTGCCACACGACAGATGGTGGCGGAGGCTCAAGTTCCAGCTGCTGGTGATGAGAGATCACGCCGCCATCGTCCTGGCTGCTCAGCTGGTAAGCCTTTGGACAATGCATGCCCCGAGGCTTGATAGCCTACACTCCTTGCAACAGGTTGTGGCATTTCTGGGCCTGGTGGTGTACCTGCTGTATGGGAGGGAGCTTAAGGAGATGTTTGGATACTCGCGGCATCCTTACGGCTTTTATTCACTTGCAGGTTCGTTCGTGCTTGCCACTCCAAGGGAAACAAAATCTAGCTTTTCTTCCCTCAGTTGTCGTGGCCCTCCTCTCGGGACTATCGTACGGGTTCTTCGTTTCCATAATCTGCGGCCAACGAATCAGCAACCGGCACTACCACGTCCTTGCAAAGCGCGAGCTGTCTCAAGTGAGTAACTTGTCATCTATAACAAGGTTATAGCACTTGCTGAATTCACTTCAAGCAGGAATACGTGGTGCAAACAATCAACGATGGCGAAGAGGCACCGCCTAGCTTAGATCCCGTGCACGTCAATGAGCTCAAACGCCTTGGCCTCTACTGAAAGTTGGGAAGTCTATTTTTTGATGATACAATGTATATCTGCAGAACGGAATGGAATGTTGGTGTCACATCCTGTCTTCCTGGAGCGCCTTTTGAACAAGCTCCTTCTGCTCACGGCTATGCACACTGCCGAACCCCGTCGCAGTTGCTGCAGAGGGAGGCCTTCCCACGTACTTGAGGTCCTCGAAGCTGCCATGCTCCACGGAAACCATGGCAGTTGCCAAGCGAGGAGCCATGTAGGGAAATGCACCCATATTCATCGGCTCCTCTTGGCACCAAACAACGTCCGCATCTACGCACACACCCGAGTTTGAAAAAGAAGATAAACTGGCTGGCTTACTTGGATATCGCCTGAGTTCTCGTTGGAGGAGGTCGTAAGGAACCGGGCAAAGCTGCTCCACGCGGCAAATGGCTACGTCTTTGGCACCAACACGCTGCCTTTCCTCATCCAGCTCATAGTACACCTAGACAAGCACACGCTATAGTCTCACCGTCTGGCCTCGCAAAATTTACCTTTCCAGAGCAGAGAACGAGGCGACGAACCCCCGACTCCACCTCAGCATGGTTGTTTTGGTCCTTGATCAGTCGCTTGAATCGGGTGCCTTGCTTATCAAACCCAGGATGTCCCTCAACATCGTTAAATTCGGACAGACTTGACCGACACGCCTGGTGGCGCAGTAAATTCTTTGGCGCCATGACGACAAGAGGTTTCCTAAAGTCCCGATGAATCTAAGCGGCGAACAAAAAGAGTGAGTGATATAGCTCACGATCATAACACCTAGTGCTTACCTGCCGGCGGAGTACATGGAAGTAATTGGCAGGAGTTGTCACGTTCACCACCTGCCAGTTGCATTCTTGAATCTGTTTGCGAAGGGACACCTCCATCTCAGGAATGACGAATGGATTGTCATCGCTCATCTGCGGTCATATTTAGCAATCCCAAGATGCATTGAAAGCTTGTATTACGAAACCTGTAGAAATCTTTCCAGCCTCGCACTCGAGTGCTCTGGTCCCTGCCCGTCATAACCGTGTGGCAGCAGGACGACCAGGCCCGTCTGACGCAACCATTTTGCTTCCCCACTGCTCAGAAACTGATCGAAGATCACCTGGCAACCGTTGGAAAAATCTCCAAACTGGGCCTCCCAACAAACCAACGAGTTTGGGTTCTCCATCGAATACCCAAGCTCAAACCCAAGCACTCCAAACTCCGACAGTGAGCTGCATGCGCCACATGTTATCAGTACCTACGGAAGGTAGAAGTACAAGCCCACCTGTTACTGACTGTAAACATTTCGTCCTTCTGATTCTTCACCACATGGTTCAGAGGGCAATACTTTTCGCCAGACTTCTGGTCGTGTATGACAGCATGTCTGTGGCTGAATGTGCCTCTCTCAACGTCCTGACCGCTCAGGCGGACGTGGTTGCCTTCGGCAAGCAGCGTCGCAAAGGCCAAGGCTTCTGCAGTCGCCCAGTCAACACCTTCTCCCGTCTCAATCATCTGCGCACGTTGCTCGTATACTTTCTTGATCGCTCTGTGTGGCGTGAAAGTTGGAGGTAGCGTGGTGATCGCCTTGCCAAAGTTCTTCAGAATCTCCGGCTTGACACTGGAGTGGTCATCACATGCGGGTGTGATCACAAATCCACCCTTACCCCGTGTTTCGTAGCCTGGACAGCTGCTCCGGGCTTTTGAATCCCGTCCAATATGCTGCAAGCCAGTCTTGTGTCTTTGGGATATAGTCTTTGCTGCTCTGAAACTCTTCATTCAAGATCGCCATCACCTTGTCGTGCACCCTTGCAATGTCCTCCTTTTTCAGCTGCCCGACTTGGGCCAGCTTCTTCTCGTAGATGTCGAGAGAAGTGGGGTGGCCCTTGATGACCTGCCAGAGTACGCACACACGTCAAGGGACATGTGCATGCAAGATACGGCAGACGTACCTGATACATTTTAGGCTGAGTGAAGTTCGGCTCGTCGATCTCGTTGTGACCAAACCGGCGGTAGCAAACGATGTCAACGACGACATCCGCCTTGAAGTGGCATCTCCACTCCGCCGCCATCGCACAGGCGTGGACAACGGCCTCCACATCGTCGCCATTGACGTGGAAAATGGGAGCGTTCAAGGCCTTGGCAACGTCGGTGCAGTAAGGAGAGGAGCGACTGCTCTTGGGGTCGGTGGTGAAGGCCACCTGATTGTTGACGACGATATGAATGGTACCGCCAGTTGTGTAGTTGGGAAGGTCGCTCAAGTGCAGCGTCTCGTACACCACACCTTGCCCCGAGAAGCTGCCGTCGCCGTGGAGCAAGACGGCCATGTTTCTCTTGCGCTCGACGTCTTGCGAGTAGTACTGCTTGGCCCTCGTCTTTCCGATGACAACCGGGTCCACGGCTTCCAGGTGGCTTGGGTTTGCAACGAGCGAGAGGTGAATCCTCTTACCGCTGCGCGTTGGCCTGTCGTAGGAAGTGCCCAGATGGTACTTGACGTCACCACTCCCGGTGTAGCCACCTTTCTCGACGTCGGCGGGCCTTATCCCGGCACTAAACTCGCTGAAGATGTGCCTCAGCGGTTTCCTCACCACATTACCCAGCACGTTGAGCCGACCCCTGTGAGGCATGCCAATGACAATGCTGTCCACGCCCAGGTCGGCGGCCCGGTCGATGAGCTCTTTCATTCCCGGGATCAGCGTCTCGCAACCCTCGAGGCCAAAGCGCTTGGCAGCAGTCCACTTTTGCGCCAGGAAGTTCTCAAAGCGCGTCCCCCAGATGAGGCGATCCAGGATGATGGCCTGCTTCTCCCGCGAGTAGTTGCTGGGGACGTGCTGCTCGATCCTCTCCCGCAGCCAGTTACACTTGTCCCTGTCCGGGATGTGCATGTACTCGTAGCCAATGCTCCCGCAGTATGCCTGCTCTAAACGTCTGAGAATGGCCCTCAGCGTCTGGACAGGGCGATTCTCGGACAAGAAGCCCGACATCCTCCACACCCCGATGAAAAACTCCCGGTCCAGGTCGGCATCCGTGAATCCATACAGAGCCGGGTTGAGATCCTGCGGGGGCACGCGCTGCTCCAGCCCCAGGGGATCCAGCTGCGCTTTCATGTGACCATTCACCTGGTACGCTCTCACCAGCAGCAGCAAGCGCATGCTCTCTTGGATCGTCTGTCCCGACAGGCCGGGACTGGATGCCGCCTTGCCCGTGAAATTCCGGAAGAAGTTGTCCCACGACTCGTCCACGCTCCTGGGATCCGCCTCCCACGCGCACTGGAGCTCTTCCAAGTAGACGCTGCTGGTGCCGTCGAGGAAGTTGTCAGTGAGGCGGGAGAGAGGGACGGAGCGGGGCGCGGGCGGCCTTTGCATCCACCGCGGGCTCCCATGAAAATGCACCGCGTCTCTTTTGGCTGGTCTAACAATCGTATGGAAGGATCCAGTCTCGACGCGCAACCTCGGCAACACAAGCCTGGACGAGACCCTCGCTGCCAGGCACCGCGCCATCGCAAGCCCTAAATTATTTCATTTGTGATTCTCCCGCGCAACAAGCCTTTCACCAAAGGCCCGCGCAAGCATGTCCTTGGGCTCAATCCCCCACCCCACGCTCGCCTCGTACGCCGCCACCACCGAGTCTGGAGACACGACGAGCCCCTGCGAGGCCAGCGCTCTCACAGCGTTGCCCACCCGGCAAATCCTCTCCCTGGTTGCCAGCGGAATCGGGATCGCCGCCCCATCCTCCTCCAGCTGCTGCTGCTGCTGTTCACGCTGTGCAACGCTTGATATCCACACGTAGCCGTTGCACCCAAAGATAACTTCCACCTGGTACTGCCCAAAGCTGTGAAAGTGCTGGCTCAAGCGCTTGATGAGGTAAGGCTCAACCTTGACAAGCTGGCCCATTTGCAGCTGCCAATCCGGATAGAACGTCAGCCCCAGACACAGCCATTGTTTTCTTGCTTACCTTGCCATACTTCAAGCTCCGGGTGTGGAGGTGGATGGAGTCCTGGCTCGCAGATTGCACCTCAGCCTGCATGCATCGATAAGTTTCCACAAGACAAAACTAGCACATACACTGATGAGGTCACCTTCTACAAACACAGACCGCATATTGAGCTCGTCGGTGGCCGTCCGCCGCCTCTGCAGGAGATGCGCAATGTAGCATATAGCAGTGCGGAATGCGGATGATTTACCTGGATTCCACCTGGTAAATTCACCGCGGACAGCATGAGATGGGCGTCCTGCTTGGAGTTGACATCCACCTTCCATCGCTTTTGGGCAAGCTGGAAACAAGTACGAGTCAGCCGATCACCCCTCCAACGGTTCAACCAACCTCGGTGACTCGGCCGATGACAACATCTCCAACCCGTGCTTCGTACCTTGTGTTGCAAAGGTTGACAAAGAATGCATCGCCTCTCTACAATACAAGAGCGCCCTACCTGGAACGAAGCGGCTTGACAAACACGAGCTTGTTCACCCGCTCGACAGTGCCGCAAACAGTGGCTACCAGCTCCCCGTCTACAAGCTGCGTTCCGTGCCCTCTAAAAGAACAAGCATGGCTTGAAGGGTTGGCTGGAAAGAGGCCGCCTCCTTTTACCTCAGGATTCCGTCCTGGTGATCCACCTGGATCACATCACCAATCGCGACCAGCGCCCGCATCCTTGTCGAAACCCTAGCCCCGCTTTAGGTCGCGCGCAGGCATGGCCATGGATGCGGTGGCGCTCACCGTGGGCGGCAATGCGGCGGCGGCGGTGGATGCCGAGCGAGCGCGCTTCCCGCACTGCGTGGTGTGGACGCCATTGCCCATCGTCTCGTGGCTGTCGCCGCTCATCGGCCACGTAGGGATCTGTCGCGCCGACGGTGTCATCCTCGACTTCGCCGGCCCCTTCTTCGTCAACGTGGACGGCTTCGCCTTCGGCTCGCCCGCAAAGTTCCTCCGCCTCGACCCCGACCAGGTGCGTAGTGACATGTTGCAGCTAACCGCATGACACTGGTTGCTGCGCAGTGCTGCTTCCCCGCATTCGCCTTGTCGGGGCACCGCTGCCGGGAGGCGTTCCGGCACTCGCAGCTGGGCACCGCCAGCGACTGGGACGACGCCCTGCGCAGCTGCATGCACAAGTTCCAGCACAAGACGTACAACTTCTTCACCTGCAACTGCCACTCGTTCGTCTCCACCTGCCTCAACCGCGCCGCGTACCAGGGCCGCACCGACTGGAACATGATCCACATCGTCGCCCTGGTGCACTGCCGCGGCCACTGGATCGGCCCCGCCGCGCTCCTCAGGTCGCTCGCGCCTTTCGTCCTCGTCCTCTGCATCGGCCTCCTCACCGCCGGCTGGCCCTTCCTCGTCGGCTGGGCGCTCATCTCCTCGCTCCTGGCGGCATGGTTCGTGTTCGCCACCTGTTGCGCCCGCGGCGTCGCCGACTGCTAGCCCGAGGCCCGGGCTTTTTTAGGGCTCCCTCCCGGCTTCTCGTGCCTAGGGCGCACCCACACACCATGTTCTATGGCGCAGCGGTGTGGGATCCGTGGCTCATTGTGTCGCAGATCGTCTGCATCCAGTGCCTGAGCTATGTCAGCCTTGGCGCGCTGCTGTGGGCATTCGTGGGAGTCCAGGTACCGAAGTTTACGCTCCTCTTCTTCTTCGACCACACGCTGCTCTCCTTCTCCTCCGCCACCGGCTGGTGCCTCATCTCGGCCTTCATCCTCAACTCGCTCCTAGTGTAAGTCCTCCCCTCCAGATCCACGCAAACAAATCTCTCATTCTCCCTTTTAGAGCTGCCTACCTGTTCGTGCTGGTGGAGAGGGCCAAAAAGTGCCTGGATTTCTCGGCCACTGTCTACATTATTCACTTGATCTTGAGCTCCATCTACGGGGGATTCCCGCTAACTGTGACGTGGTGGTTGCTCATGGGGACGTGCTTGGCCGTCACTGCCCTCCTTGGCGAGTGGCTCTGCCTCAGGCGCGAATTGAGGGACATCCCCATTAGAACGGCGCGTGCAAGTAAGACGGCGCCTGGCCTCTTTTGGTGCTTCTCGTTCCCTAAGCTTTTCTTTTGTCGGCAGCTGTTTAGCAACGAGACGGAAGGCCTCCATTCTTTTCCCACCACAACGGGCGACAGGGGCGCGTGTAAACTACTACCTAGGTAGCGAGAGACACTTCGATTCAGTAGATGGCGGCGGCGATTTGCTCCAGCGGCAGCACAGGCGCCGGGAGTGGCACTTCTCGTGCAGTGGTGTGCGGTGCGGGCGTTATCGGTTCCTGTACCGCTTACTTCCTGGGGAAGAGGGGCGTCAAGGTGACGGTCGTGGACAGCTGTGGCGTGGCTACGGCAGCATCGGGTAAGGCTGGTGGCTTCCTTGCTCTCGACTGGTGCGATGGTTCTCCGGTCGGGAACCTGGCGCGAGCAAGCTTTGCCCTGCACCGGCAGCTTGCAGACGAGCTTGGTGGCGAAACAAATTACGGGTACAGAAGGCTGGATGCGCTGAGTGTCACGGTCAAAGAGCCTACAGGGACAGCAGGTGCAGGAGCTTCCGCCTCTCTTCCATCGTGGATCGATGGTGCAATCAGGAAATCCAGTTCCATCGGGAGCCAGGCAACTACAGCTCAGGTCCATCCTCAGCTCTTCACTCGGACCGTCATGTCCCGTGCCGAGTCTGACTTTGGAGCCGAGTTCCTCAAGGGTACTGTGCGAGAGATCAGAGTCGACCCCGAGACGGCCCAGGTTTCAGGGGTGGTGGTTGATGACAAGTTTGTGGAAGCGGAGACGGTGGTGATTGCTCTCGGGCCCTGGTGTGGAAAGCTAAAGCTTGTGACCGACTTAACAAGCATTTCGGGGCTGAAAGCGCACAGTATTATCCTGCAGCCTCGTGAGGGACGGGACATCTCCCCGCACGCTTTGTTCCTCAGTTTCACCTCTAGGGAGGGTGAAACCATGGATCCAGAAGTGTATCCACGTCCCACCGGGGAAGTCTACGTGTGCGGTATGTCGGAGCATGTGGAACTTCCTCCAGATGCGGACCACGTCGAGCCCAAGGCCGAAGCGATGGACATGCTGAAGCGAGTTGCTGGGGCCGTGTCGAGTCAGCTGGATGGCTGCCAAGTCAAGGCTCAGCAGGCGTGCTTCCTGCCGCTCTCGGTTGACGGTGTTCCTCTCATTGGAAAGCTTCCTCACGCAGCCGGTGTCTACTTGGCAACCGGGCACAGTTGCTGGGGAATCCTGAATGCACCGGCGACCGGTGCAAGTCTAGCGGAGCTCATTGTCGAAAGCCACTCTACGACAGTGGATCTCAAGCCCTTCGACCCGGCTAGATTTCTCACCGCAGAGAAAGGGAGAAGAAAGTTTCTTTGATCAGATTACCGGGATGGTATGTATCTAGGCCCACTCACCATGAAACAGTGGTTTTCTAATAACATCCGATTCTATATCCACCATCTTAGCGATGTCTGCGCACAGCTTGGTGTCGTAATCCTCGGGCTGTAGCTCCACTCCCAGCTCCTTGTCAATGTCATCTGATGCTGGTACGAGGATGAACTCACAGCCTTCGTAATTAAGAAGATCTGGAGGATGGACCGGCACAAACCTGTAGGACCCCATGAGCGCTTGCAGCTTGGCGGGGTACATTGCTTTTCTCTTGTTACCCAAGCCTGCATTCGGCGGTGCTCCAGCACTAGGATTCTTTGCCTGAAAGAAACTCAACCTTAGCATCCATCTATCTACCTACGAACTTCGAGTCGAATCTCACTGAGATAATAAAGGAGGCCTCCTTTTCGAGATTCAATTCCTCCTGCAGAGCAGTGTGTTCCTCCTTGGGTTTGTCCAGCTTGTATATGAGGTGTGTGTGATTCTTGTGCTTTAGAATGCAGTAAACGCCTTCCCCTGCCGGACGGGCTCCTGGCTGAACCCGGTGCCCGCGAGTCTTCGTGTCATATTCATCTGGCATCTGGTTTCAGAAGAGAACGCAATAATGAAAATGTAGCTTACAAGCCGAAAGGCTGTCTTTCATCGCTTGGATGGAAGTCGTGACGAGATCCACGTAGCTCCACGCCGGACGACCTTTTGCAGCGGGATCAGGCAAGACCTTCCGTCCTACTATTATCAGTCTCATCAGCAAGCGCTTTGTCAAATCCACCTCCTGCACGAAGTGATCGATCAGGAACCATGGATAACATAAAAGATGGTCAGGTCAACACACCTGCATGCCCTGCTCCCCTGGTTTATCATCCTTGATCTCCCCCGTAGCTCCCCGGCAGACTTCTCATCTCTGTTGCCATCCTTGTCACCTTCTTTAGGTGTCCCCTTCACGTTAACTGTGCGCTGGATGTCGTCAGCTTCTTTCTTTCCTTCGACAGCGTCCTCGGACTCTTCCAGCTTCTCCTTCACATTCTCCGAATGTGGATCTTGCTTCACTTCCAGGCTGTTATCGGCTGCGACTGGGCGGAGAACCATGTAAAGACGCTGTACCTCTCCGGCTGAATGTGGATGCTCCACGTCAATCTTCGGGCGGTAAAAGAAGAAAATCTCCCCTATTTCCTGCCAATGTTTCGACGTATGTGTCAACATAAGCAAATCGTGGTAACATACCGACACTTCCAAATCACTTCGGTTCTGCAATTTCTCCATGTTGTTTCTTGTCAGGAACAGAAAGAAGAATGCCCCTACTTGCCCCTGTCCTCGGGACCCTTCACTTGCTAGTATAAGATAGAGACAAGTGTCTTGCGTACGTGTCATGCAACCAGAATTTCAAGAAACAACCTTCATTGGAGGCGGCCTATTTATTTCATCTGCAGCTTGACACACACCATCAAAACTTTTAGAAATCTCGAAATCTAAAACAACAAGAACCTCTCCTCAATCGCTATCGCTGTCTTGACTTCCATTCAGGTAGTCCAGCAAAACTTGACTCGCCAGTTTGTGCACGCTAAGACCCTTCTCATCCGCCTGCTTCTCCAATGCAGCATGGACATCAGAGTCCAGAAGAATGCGTGACCTTCCAGTACGAGGTCCTTTGTACGTTTCGATGTGACTTTTTAGCACATCAAATCCCTGCATCGAAAACATCATTCAGCAACCGTACCAGGCATTTGGATTAACAATACCATTCTCATTGTAAAATCTCCAAAAGACTCTTCAGATGTTCGTCGTGCTTTCCACAGGTAGAAGAGAGGCTCTAAAACCCTTTCAAAGTCCTGAATCTTTACTTTCTCCATAAAAGTTTGAGCCAACCGTGTCTGGTTTGCCGTGCCTCCGAGCCAAATCTACCATTGACATAAACGTGTAAATTGAAAAAGCACCACAGAAAATTACCTGATAACTATTTGCTCCATCTCCGACCAGTCCAAGTTCTGCCATGTATGGCCTCGCACAACCATTAGGACACCCGGTGACTCGCACCACCATCGAATCCGCCTCCTTGAGGCCCACCTAAGCAATAATAGAGAGCAAAGATTTAACACAAGAAACACAACAAGACAAATCACCTTATCGAACATAGCTCGGATTCTTTTAAGTATGCTCGGTATGCCTCGTTCAGCCTCTGCGATTGCCAACGGGCACAACGGTAGTGCTGGACATGCCATGGACGACAAGTTAAGACTATCTATGTGACGAGGGGCCTGCAATGTTTGTCATGAGAAAAGAGCTCACCATAACAAATCAGCATACCAGCAGTCCCACTTGAGCAAGTGTCTTTGTAATCCGTGACTTCCAAGAAGGTCGAATGTCACATAGAATCAGATTTTGATTGGGAGTCAAACGCACACTTAGCTGATATGATTCGATTATCTCTCGGAGCGTTTTCTTGGCATCACCTTTGATTCTTCCGTTGTCTACATGAACACCAAAGAACAGTTTGCCATCTCCCTGACAATGTAAACCGTTTAGAAAGGGGAAAAAAACGCAAAGATGGAATACCTGTTCATGCCATCCTAAGTAGCTCTCAAACTTCCAAGGTGGAAGCGTCTGAAATGTTTCAAACTGCTTGCCGTAATAGCTCTCTACAACCGAACGGAACTTGTCGATTCCCCAGTCATGAACCAGGTACTTCATCCTTGCCTGGCGTCTATCGTCGCGGCGGCCATAATCCCTCTGCGTCGCCACAATGGCTTTAACAGCGTGCAAGAGGTCATCTTTGGAGACATATCCCAGAGGTTCGGCCAACCGAGGAAATGAAGTTTCTATGCGATGTGTCCTGCCCATCCCTCCGCCGACCTTGAAACAAAACCAAGTCAGAACGCTCAGAAGGGTCGAGCTCGAGATAAAACTTACATAAATGTTGTATCCTTGAAGCTCGTCAGCCTCATTGACAATGGTGACAACCCCAATGTCGTTGGTGAGAATGTCGACTGAGTTGTCGGAAGGAACCGTGACGGCAATCTTGAACTTGCGCGGTAAGAACTGGGTGCCATAGATTGGTTCCGGGGAGCCCTCAAAGTTTGTCCCGTGAGAGTTGTCATTACGGGCCTGGGTGACATCAGGTGGCTCAGCAGACATGACCTTCTCACCGTCCACCCAGAGGTCATAGTAAGAACCCGCTTGAGGTGCTAAAAGAGCCGCAAGTTTATCCGCAGCCTCCACTGCGTAGAGATAGTCCTTCCTGTTCTTGAAGGGTGCCGCCGGGGCCAGCACGTTTCGATTGACATCACCGCATGCGCCTAGCGTGGATCCCATGTTTTTGATGATGGTGCTCATCACGGTCTTGAGATTGTGCTTGAGCACCCCGTGAAGTTGGAAGGTCTGCCGCGTCGTCAGCCTCAAGGTGCCGGATCCAAACTCGTCGGCAAGATCATCCATCACCTTGTAGAGCTGATTGGTGACGATACCCGCAGGCTGCTTGGTCCGGAGCATAAACTGGTACGCCTTTCCGCTGCGAACGTCCCGGTCGGCCTGCTGGTAGCTACCGTGGAACTTGATCAGCTGGACAGCGGATTCATTGATGTTTGGAGCCTCGGTCTCAAGCTCCTCCCGCAGGGGAAAGCGCAAGAAGTTGCTGTTTTCCTTGATCAACTCCACCTTGCTCCGCTTGGCAGGAAGCGTGGCCGGAGGCCTGGCAGGCTGTGGGATTATTGTCAGAGGATCCAAGGGCGAGGGAATGTACGCGACTTACCGCGGCCACGGCTTCAGCACGGACGACGATCATCCGCGTTTGCTGCTGCTGTTGCAAGGAATCCATCCGCCGCAGCAACATCGATGAGGTGGGGATGCTGGCCTTGGCGAGTCTGAGGCCTCCATAGCTGGGGAGAGAGGAGGAGCCGCATTCTGGTAGCGAGCAAGCCGCCATAGCAGTCGTGGGCAATTTTGCTTTGCTCCCAAAACCCTAGAGGGTATTTGGACTGGATTCAATGAACATGGTGCTGCCACGTGTCGCGAAATTTCCATCTGGATTCCTGGGAAGCGGGTTAACCCAGCAAACTGAGCCCAGTTAGGGCAAATGGGTAGGTAGCGACACAGCAGTCATGTGTGGATGGAGGAGGAGGGGCAGGAGGTTTGTTTCGACGCGCTCCCGGATTCCGTAGCGTGCGCCATCCTGTCCAAGCTCAGGGACGCACAGACCGTGGCTCAATGCGCCGCGGTGTGCCGGCGGTGGAGGGCTCTGTGCGCTGCCGTGGACGCGCTGAGCTTCGAGTCGTTCCAGCTCTTCGAGAAGCGGGTGGGCAGGGCGAGCAAGGCGTCGTGCCTGGAGGCGATCGTGTCGCGGATGCTGCTACGGAGTGACGGGGTGAGGGAGCTGGGGATTTGCTACCACCCCGTGGAGTGGCCATGGATCCGCGGCGACCACTTCAGCGAGGACAAGGTGTGCGCGTGGCTGGGCCACGTCCGAGCCTCGCTGGAGAAGCTGGTGCTGGTCGATCCCAACAGGGAGAGGCCACAGCCGCTCAAGCTGCTCCAGCTCTCGCACTGCCCCAGGCTCAGGTGGCTCAACCTCTGCTACGGGATCATCCCCGACCTCCCAGGCGACATGAAGCGCATGGAGAGCCTGCGGACGTGTGTGCTCGACCTCATTGCCATCACCGACTCGGCGCTCGAGGCGCTGCTCCTCCTCTGTCCTTGCCTCGAGGACCTGCGCCTCAACTCGTGCAAGGGGCTTCGCGCCCCAAGCCTCGTCTCGCCGAGACTGGCGTCGCTCGAGTTGGTGCACGAGATGGACATGTGCGAGGCGACCGTCGCCTGCCTCAGCCTCGACACGCCCAAGCTCACCAGGCTGTCGCTCAGCTACGTGGAGGAGCTCATTGCCGACGGCGAGGCGCTGCTGGAGTTAGGCCTGCTGTGCCACGTCCGTCCCAGGATCCGGGACCTGTCATACCTCACGGCGCTGCAAATGAAGGGCGAGGTGTGGCTGCTGGAGAGCATTGTGGAGCTGGTGCGGCTGGGAGCCAACGTAACTCAGCTCCATGTCGACGCCGTTATCGACAACAAGAGCCCCATTCAGCTGGACGCCTTGTTTCGCCACTTGCCGCTGCTCACCAAGCTCTACATTGGTGCCGACATGTTTGAGGTATGGCCTCCTTTCTCTTGCGTGACGCTATAGCTCGACTTTGCTGGCTGCGTGAGCAGTGCGTGCAAGCTGGTGCCGCCGGCGTCACGGGCAGCGCAACCTTGCGGCTCCCGCGACTGGAAGAAATAGTCGCCGTGGTGTGCAGCGGCAGCAACGGCTGCATCGCAGTGCTGGCCACGCTACTCCGATGCTCCTCGTCTCTGCGATCCCTGCGAATAAACGCGCACCAGCTGAGCAAAGGCGTTGGAAACATCACGTTCTTCACCGATGTCTTGGGCTTGCAGAGGGAGTTTTCGCAAGTCGAGATTGTCCTCGACTGTCCTTATACGTTACTGTGAGATTTGGGGAATGGCTTGCCGTTGCAAGCGCGTGTACATAAAAGCGAATAACGAAGTGTAAATACAAATGGATCGATGACAAGCTTTGCTTCAGCTCACAAAATCCTCTTGAGCTCGTTCCTTAGTGCCTTCAGAGATACTGGCTTGGTGAGCACGGCCTTCATTCCCAGGCTCAAACACTTCTCGCGGGTGCTATCGTCGGTGTTTGCAGTCAAAGCCACAATGTGAAGCCCTTCTCTTGGATATAGCTTCTGGATCTCTGCTGTTAGTTCGTATCCGTCCATCTGATCGACACATAAGTTCGTTCAAGAGTGAAAAGACAAGAAGGAAAGGGGATCACCTCTGGCATGCACAAGTCGACGAGGACAATGCTATACGCCGAAGCTCCTTCTGCCGCAAGAGTTTTGAGGCAAGTTTCCCCGGATTCCACCACAGTCGATTTGCATCCAAGATTGTTAAGCAGCCTGCGAATCACTGTCCTGTTGACGGCATTGTCGTCCACAGCCAGGATCTGAAAGCCCGCACGGTCATTGAAGAATGTCCGAGTTAGAAGGGACTCAAATACCTTCAAGCTATGGAAATTATCTCCCGGGGCCTTTGGTGACAGGATCATATGAACTTGCTCCATCTCGGAGACAACCGAGACTCGCACATAGAAGCGGCACGTACTGCCTTTGTCCAAGCCTTCAGAGGTGATGGAGATGCTGCCATTCATCAGCTATAACCCAAAACTGTGAGCCAGTTAACCACTTTGAGAACAAAAGCTGGCTGACACACAAACCTCGACAAACTTTTTGGAGATCGCCAGCCCCAGCCCGGATCCACCATACTTGCGGGACGTGCTACTATCCGCCTGAACGAACTTGTTGAACAAACGGGGGAGATCAGTAGCTCTGATGCCGATTCCGGTGTCCTCAACCTCAAAATGAATGTACCTTTGCGTCATGGACCTTCCTGGTGATGCTGGCTCGTGTGATACCTGGGCGTCCGGAGCCTTGCTCGCAAACACTGTCAAGTGGACGTGGCCCTGAGCGGTGAATTTAATGGCATTCCCAACCTGCACATCACAAGTTTGAGGTGGTAAAACTTATCACCCTCAAGAGGTGATCAGAAAGTTACGTTTCCGCTGCTCACCACATTGAGAAGAACCTGCAGAATTCGAGTGCTGTCTCCCATGACAGTGTCCGGAAGAAATCCCATCCTCTTGAGAGCGAATGGAAGATGTTTAGCCACCGCCAACGGCGAGACGAGCCTCTCTGCATCGTCCAACAGCTTGGCCACCTTGAATGGTTGGATATCTAGCGTCAGACTCCCAGCTTCGAGCCTGGAGAAGTCGAGCACATCGTTGATCAACGTGGATAGCAGGCTGCCACTCTTGGATATGGTCTCCACCATGGACTGCTGGTCGGGCGTGAGGCCCGAGTCGAGGAGCAAGGAGGAGAGCGCGATGATGGCATGCATGGGAGTCCGCATCTCGTGGTTCATTACAACCAGAAACTCGTTGCGGGCCACAACTGCAGACTCGGCTTCCTTTTTGGCCTTCTGCAGGGCCAGGTTCTGCTCGATGAGCTGATCTTGCACTTTCAACGTTTCCTCGACTACAGCAGCATGGGACAGGGCAACTGCAACCTTAACAGATCAAATTAAGATGTCATTGTGAGAAACCACACCACCTGGCTGTAGAGTACCTGATCAGCAACAGCCTCGACGAGCTCAAGCTCGTGGTCACCCCATGCCTTTTGAAGGTTTTTTGGAAAGGACAGGACCATGAGAGCGTAGCATTCCTTGTCGGGATGACTAACGCAGCCGCTGCTGGCCAACAATGGGATTCTGATAGCCACCACACTACCATGGTTCAAACTCGTCTGCCCAGCTCCCGCTAGCGGGCCCAGTGCCTTGGATGGCACCACAACCGCACCATTGTTGCTAAAGACCTGTGAATCAAGACCAGGGAATAAATCACTCCTCATGCAGGTGCCCAACATACCAGGTCAACGAGGCTGGTCGAGAGGGGAATTTCAGGCGGAGCAAAAGCGTCCTGCGCTCCAAGCTTGTGCGCAAGCTCCAGAACGTTGGCACTCGCCCTAGGCATCCAAATGTTGCAGCTTTCCAGCTCGAGGGTGTGCGACAGCTCTATCATCGTCGTGCTTAGAATCTTGTGGCGATCCAGCGAGCTTCGGATCTCATCAGTGAGCATTCGGACATGCTTGAGGACTTGCTGATCTTTCTTGATATTTCCCACCTCAACATCCAGTTCTGCAGTCTGCAAATTCAAGTCAGCCCAGTTTCGGGAGTTGTGGGGTGTGTGCTTGCCTTTTGCGTATAAAACTCCTCTCTCTTCTTTACATCAAGTAACTCCGGGATGACCCAGATCAAGAGTACGGCAGTTAGGCACGAGACAGTTGCTGTGACCACTTTGGCAATCGTCATGCCAATATGCGCCGCTTCCGAGTTCACGTAGAAGTTCCATAGCGTTAGCAAGTGTGTGATACCGCACAGGACAATGAAAAGACCAAAAAGAGCAATCACCCAGCGGAAGGGGAGCACCTGGAAAACCAAAAGCCGGCCTAAGGAGTGGCGTGTACGAGCTTCGAGATCACACGAACCTGGGATTTGATGAGAAAGTAGACCAGCTCAAGAGGGATCGAGAAATAAGCAACTGCAATGAGGAAATCGGAGCCAAGCTGCCATTTGGCGAGAACAGTGTGGCGCCTGTGTGACCAACCATTCGATTCCGTCAAGTCCGTCTGTCGGAGTTCCCTGAGAGCGAAGAAGAGCATCTTCTTCTCTGCTGCCTCCCTGCTGGTTCTACGTGACGAGCACGGGCACGAGCAACAGCGGGATTTTCGCAATCCTGGGATTCGGCATCACCGAAGCGTTCCATAAGCGATTGCTACCATTTGCTCAATCTGCTCTTTGGTCGTCCCTGAGCGCCAGCGATGCCGCAAGAAGATGGATAAAGTCCCCTCAGGTTAACGGAAATGTCATGTGACACCATTCTAAATCTCGACCGTCTGCCTCCCACCCATCTCAGCCATTGGAAACGCCAGCGCCTCGACAGTTGCTTGGCTCAAGAAGAAAAAAAACAAGTGGATTTTACAGGGTCAAGAGGCCCACAGCCATGGCGGTGGCGGGCACCGTTAAATTGTCGTCGAGAGCGCTGCTTATGGGCAGCGATTCCACGACCGTGGTTGCCAGCGACACGGCCACAATCCCGATGATTGTCCTCACGCCCATGTCAAAGTAGCCCAATTGCGAGAAGAGGAACGTATAGCTGCGCAGCAAAGGGCAAACAGCACAGGATGAGCATGGCCGTCAATAGGCTCATTAGCTGGTACTCACAGCATGGAGAATGCGGCGCTCATGACAAACATCGCAACGCTTCCTTGGAGCGATTTGTTGGGATTGTAGGGGAGTTTCCAGCGACCGTACTTTCGTCCAAAGATATCAGCGAAGCCTGGTTGAGATTTCCGTCGACATCAAAGAGAAAAGAAAGGAAGTTTGTGTTACCATCTCCAGCACACAAGTTGGCGATCGTAACCACACCACATGGTGAATTCCTCCAGAAAAAGAGCGTTGCAATGGAGATTGTGATGGCGTAGTACAGAGGCCCTTTGAGCAGTTCCCTGTCCAACCACAGTTCTAAGCTCATCTCCCTCGAAGAAGAATTTAGCCTGCTCCATACCTGGGGTGGCCATCACGGCTAACCGCCTTCACAAATGCCTTGTTCTCCAACAGCCCAGTTCCAAATGCCACCATTCTCAAAGCGTTGGTGAGCGGGGCTATGGCCGCCAGGTATCGCGCCCGAGGAGCATCGCTGCGTGGTGGTATTTAGAAAATGAAAAGGTGCCAACACTCAACCTGAAGAGCGGCCAAAAGAGCATGAAGATGAGCCCCACGCATATGTGCACCAGCTTCCTGCTTAGTTTCTACTAAAACGCACAACATTATGATGCTGCCAATGTGTCAATGTCGATGAGATTGGTTACCTTGTCGAACACGTCCCTCTTGGCGAGCTCGTCAAAGAACCTGAGCGATCCCAGAGCTCCGGACAGTGTGACGGCGGACATGAGCAGATCGTAGCCCAGTTGATGCTGCTGCGGAAGTGGTGCCACGGATCCCATGTTTTGCAGCAGCCCAAAACCTGCGCAGGATCCGGAGCTCCTCCTTGTCGAAAAGACTAGGTCGTGTCTCACACTCACTACTGATGCTGATACCCGGCTCTTGTCTAGAATCCTCGGAATTGGGCTCTCCCTCCGGACGCCAAAACCTTGATCCCTGGCATGCAACGCGAACAGGGCCAGCTGACTAGCAGATGCCGCCATAGCCGGAACTTGAACGGAGACTGATTCAACTTAAAAAAATGTCAAGCGTACACGTTTGCTCCACATCTAGAAGCATGGACGTGGAGAAGCTCATCAGATCCTGCAAGAGCGCCGCGCAAGCCCAGCAGATAGGCGACGAGCTCGGATGGCTCACCGGCTCCGAATCCAGCCCACTTCCGCCCTTCCGCCGCCTCTACTTCTCCAATCTCCTCATCCAAATGCTGGGAGCCGTCGGGTGCGTGGATCGCGCTCGCCAGATCTTCGACTCCATGGTGGCCAAAGATGGATTCTCCTGGAACCTGATGCTGGCTGCCTACATTCACAACGGCCAGTTGCATGAAGCACTCGGCCTCTTTGCAGTCATGCCACGCCGGGACCTCGTTGCCATGAACACCATTCTCGCGGCTCATGCAAGGGAGGGACGTGTCAACGAGTGCCAATCCCTCTTTTCTGCCATGCCTCATCTCACCCTCGTCTCCTGGAACTCCCTGCTCTCGGCGTATGCCCAAACTGGGCATCTCGAAAGAGCAAGGAAAGTGTTTGCCTCCATGCCCGATAAGAACCAGGTCTCCTGGAACTCGATCCTTACGGCATTTTCAGAAGCAGGGAATCTGGGCGAAGCGAAGAGGATGTTTTTTACAGAAATGCCGAGCTGGGACCTCCTCTCGTGGACTGTGTTGCTCTCGGCTTATGCCCAGTCGGGGCATCACAAAGAAACCAGGGGTGTGTTCGACGCGATGCCGGAGAGAGATATTGTGTCGTGGAACGCCATGCTGTCGGCGTACGCACACGGCGGGGGGAGCTTAGCCGACGCGGAGAGCTTCTATACAGAAGAGATGGAAGCCAGGAATTTGGTGTCGTCCAACGCGATGCTGGCGGCATTCATCAGGAAGCTCCAGATCCCACGGGCAAAGCAGTTCTTTGATTCGATGCCAGAGAGGAATCTCATCTCCTGGACGGCGCTCATGAACGGGTTCGCCGAGCACGGCGACGTGGACAGCGCCGCCCGCCTGTTTGCGGAGATGCCGCAGCTCAGCGTCGTGTCTTGCAATGCGATGCTGGCGGTACATGCCCAGGCGGGGCGCGTGCGGGAGGCGACAGATCTCTTCCATGCCATGCCCGAGAGGAATCTCATCTCGTGGACGGCAATGCTCGAACTGTCTGCGCGATCGGGAGACTTGGAGTCGGCCAAGGCTCTGTTTGACGGAATGCCGGAGCAGGACGCGGCGGCGTGCACGGTTCTGCTCACTGCCTACGCCAATGCCGGGCTGTTGGAGCAAGCCAGATCCATCCTGGGCGCCACCCAGTCGCGGGATGTCATCCTGTGGAACAGCATGCTAACGATCCTTGGCAATCTCAGGGCCGTGGACGAGGCACGAGACTTGTTCCACGAGATGAGCGAGCGAAACCCCGTGTCCTGGACTGCCATGCTTGCTGCCTACGCCCACAACGGGCACTGCGGCTGCGCCGCCAGAATGTTTGAGCAGATGCCCGCTAGGAGCCTGGTGGCGTGGAACTCGATCCTCTCCATGCTTGCAAGCAACGGCCACTGGCGCCGTGCGGTGGAGATGTCTTACGAGATGATGGTGGCGGGATTGGAGGCGGACGAGGCCAGCATCGTGTGCATACTGATCGCGAGCATTCACAGCGGCGACGTGGAAGCCGGGAGGAGGCATTTCCAGTCGGCAAGCTTCGACCAGTCGGTAAGAACCAACAAGCAACACTACAGCTGCATGGTGCACCTGTTGAGCCGGGCCAAGCGTCTGGACGAGGCGCGCGAGCTCATCCACACCATGCCCTTCGCTCCCGATTCCCAGGACTGGATTTGCTTGCTTGCTGCCGTCGGCGGTGGCAAACGCAGGGAGGAGAGTGGAGGCGAGGCAGTGCAATGCGCCCTTGAGCTGGAGCCGACGAGTGGCGCGCCCTATGTGTTGCTTTCAGCCACAGCATAGGGGTTTAGGGTTCTTGGTCATGGCGCAGTGGCGGACTCACGTGGATGCGGCCTTGGATTCACAAAGCTCCGGCCATGATCGGGTACGTGACACAGGACAAGACATTGATTTCTTGCTTCCCTTGCAGGCTGCCGCTCAGGATGCGCTTCTCTTGCTCCTGCAACAGAGAAATATCTCGATCAATGACATCGTAAGAGGAGGAGGTGCTTCTTCTTTGCTCTTCTGAGCTTGTTCTTTACCTTGCAGGTGCTGCATTTGGGCTCGTGCCTCACTTCAACGGATTTTCTGGTCCGATCCAAAGGTATCGTGTATCTATCCACCATGCCACACACACGAAACAATGTTTTTTCTCTGTTTTGCTGCAGGCATGACTTTCCTGGGAGAAATGGTGGCGCGGCTCCATTCAACACGACTGGAAGAGCATGTTGTCCACTCTCTGGCTTTGTTCTTCACTGCACGGATCGTAAGTAACTCAAGCTAATCTTTCGTCTGGTATTCATTTGTTTAAAAATGCAGGAAGATAGTGCTTGCTTGCACGGTGCGCTTCTGGGATGCAATAGCCTTTACAAAAGAGCGAAGGATGTGGGTGAAGTCGCGGCACAAGATGCTGTCCAAGTGATTAAAACAGTGAAATGGCTTGATATGCAGTCTCTGGCTCAACAGGATAGACTGGTGTGCACATCCTTGTTTTTTTATTGCTGTGGAGCTACTTACATTTTTGTTTGATGCCAGCTATGTTTCGAGCTTTTGGTCACCCTCGTTGAGCGGCATCCTTCTGAAGTGGGAACTCTAGTAAGTAAATGCTGATATGTAAGTATGTAGCAACTATCCGCTCATGTCAGTGTGTTTTTCTTGTACTAAAACATGCTGTTTTCATACTAGGGGACTGACCTCGTGACTGGAGCTGCTCAATTGATAGAAGGAGAAAAGGATCCTCGATGTTTGTTGCTGGCGTTTCGTTTGATCGAGCGCTTGGGAAGTTTGTTTCCAGATCCGAAAGGCCCTCTCGCTCAAGCTGCACCTGATCTTTTTGATATCATCGCCTGCTATTTTCCTATATCGTTCAAGCTGGTATGTAATTTACTTCCTTTAAGTAACGTTCTCAAGCGGCCTTCCTGCAGCGGCCAAACGACAGCAAAGATATTTCACGAGAAGATCTTATTGCAAGTCTTAAGGTAGCACATACATCTATCTCATCGTCAACAAGTGCTGTGGTTTACAGAGTGCTTTTGCCGCTTCTTCATTTTTTGCTTCGGAGTGTATCCCTTTACTTCTTGAAAAGCTTTCATCGTCAGTACAGGATTCTAAAGTACGTTTACGATGTTTGATCTGCATCACAACCGACCCTCCTTGTTCTGCAGTTGCAATCCTTGGAGTTCCTTGGAGATTGTGCAGTTGCCTACGGTGAGCGTGTTATGGATGAGTATGCTCGTCCTATATGGGTCGCACTGAAAGCCGAGTTGTTTCCTCACTTGACCTCTTTCTACTCCGAGTCGGGAAAGCTACAAGATCCAGAAGTTTTCAGAGCGGCTACCATATGTTTGACGCAGTGTGTCAAGGCGTCTCTTCGCCATTCTGATCACGATGGTGGCCAATTTCTTCGTTTGATACTGGACGACGAGATTTGCAGCCATCTTTTACAGTATCTCACGCGCAAGGCTACCATTGCAGATGCACAAGAGAAGCATCACATGCAGACTGTGGGACAGGTTCTTTCTGCTGCTGCGCGGGCATCACCTCTGTCTAGCAACATCATTTCTGCGACGATTTTACCAGCTTTTCTATCAAACAAGACTTGTTCCGATGCTCACGTTCTAGGTGTTGTCGTCTCAGTATTGACAGCTATACGAGAAGTTGCAGTGGAGCAGGTTTCTTTGCTATGTGACATCCAGTGGCTGGACCGAGTGTTTTCCTCACTGACAAAACTTCTGCTTATATTTTCGGACAACTTGAAATCAGCATCTATGAATGAAGCTATAACGGCAATTTGTGGTATGTCCTCTACCATGATTTCGTTTTAAGTTCTCATTGGTTGTTCTCTTGTCGCCAGTTTCTGGCTTGCAATGCGTAGCTACTTTTCCGGGTTACCTTTCCTCTTTGTCCGAGGCTCAAGTTTACGAGTTTGTTTCACATTTGCTAGAGCTTGTCCTTGACAAGGGGAAGCATGCCAATTCCTGGGATCAGGCGGTCCAGGCCGTTGCTTCCATATGCGCAACTGAAGATCAACTGTCAGCTTCGACGGGTTCTGCATCAGTAAGAATTGTTCAAGGTCTTGTTCAGGCTGCTTTTCTGGAAGAGAGTGACGCCAAATCCTTGATGGCCGCCATTACCAGGATATCCAGGTCGAGCTGTTCCGCTCGTGATTTGTTCTTCAGCGAGCTCCAGAGACATCTATTGCCGTTGAATAATGAATCTGTAAGGATATACGTAGAAACGTTGCATGTTGGGCTGATGCTTGTTGTCAGGTCGCAGCCAAGCACCATCTCCTGATACCTCTATTTTCTGGAGAGTTTCTAGCGCTGTAAGATGAAGCGTTGTCTTCTGTCTTCGTTCCACTCCTTCCTAACTTGCGATTTCCAGATATGAAAATGATATCGAACGTGGACATGCACCTGCCCTACAATTTTCTATGCAACTATGGTCTTCTTTCCAGTCACTCCCTCTTGATATCGACATTCCTGAAGAGGTATCATGCTTTCGTTCAACTAGAAAAATTCTTTCTAACCGATTTTATATCTAGATATTAATCCCGTGGATGGACCTAGTTCGCACTGCAGTCTCGATGTGTGATCTCAGCGGTCAGGAAGCTGTCGTCCTTAAGTCATACGACATCCTGTGTAGCCGATGTTCGAAAGACCACGACACCATGGACGGTAAACAGGCATGGCTTATTGCCATTTGGTCGTCAACGGCTGTAGCAATGAGGCCAAACATTCAGCTGTTGCAAGACGAGAAGATTATTCAGCTCCTGCTGAAGACGTCCTTGGAAGTTCAAAGCTCGGCGGTAAGCGAATACATCGCGCAGGCACTGGCATCGATATTGAATAAGTGGCCTACAACGTCATATCCGCTAGATGGTGTTGTCCAGAATGTTTTGGACGAGCTGCGTGCGTTTGGCACAGACACGCCTAGGTTGGTGAGCATCTTGGCTTGGATCGCAAAAGCGCTGGCAATGAGAGGTGACAACAAGGTGGCTTTGGTAGCAGGGATTCTCATTGAGATCCTGAGACAAGGGAAAGGAGCATTATATGCGGACGGAGACGGGGAAGACAGCATGATCAGGAGAGCTGCTGCGAAAGCCCTGGGCGTCATAGTGGGTGATGCCAAGGCGCTAAACAAACGTCATTTTGCAACCGTTCAGCCTCTGTACACCCAGAGGTTCTTTCACAGCTTCCTGCCGCCACTTCTCCACGCGCTGAGAGATGCTCCAGATAACGTTTCACGGTACTTGCGAGTTTAGCTGGTCTTGTCGCTACGAACTGACCATCTCGCCTTGTCCAGGGTCTGGTTGATTCGCGGTTTCAGCCATCTTATTGTGAACGTCCCGACAACTGCTGTGCTTATGGAAGGCAACAAGGTGATTTCCGTTATTTTTTTTCTCTTCATGCTCCACTGAGACACATGTCCAGGTGTTTCCACTTCTTTTGGAAGCGCTCTCAAATGCCGAGGATTCTGACACGCTCCTGGGGAACCTTCTTATATTGTCTGCTTTTCTCATGGACGAGAAGAGCAAAGGTGGGACAGTACGCACTCTTGGAGTCTCCGGGATTGATTTACTTTTCGTTGCAGGTGCTGTGATAGATCGCATTGGACTTGTCATAACCTGCCTCGTGGAACTTGTACAGTATCAACACTCCACTGTGAGTCTGAGAGTTTGCCTCCAAAAGAAGTAATCATTGTTGTGCTTTCTTTTCTCCAGGCTGTTCGTGAGACCGCTCTCCAGTGCCTCGGCGCCATTGTCAGCCTGCCATTCGCGTCAATCTATCCCTCGAGCCGGAAGGTAGGAAGTATCTCTTTTCGTCAGTGCTCATTACGTTGTGGAGCTGGGCTTTCCAGGTGTTGAAGACACTCCATCGAGCTCTTGATGATCCAAAGCGCTCCGTACGCAATGAAGCTGCTCGCTGCTACCAGGCCTGGTGGATCAAATAAAAACCACACTGAACCGACAGATATCCGCGGGAATATCCCCGTTACGGTCGAGGGTACGTGTTTGCACTGAGTGCTAGCAATATTGTTGGAGAAGAGACCCCTTTCGAGTTAAGAATGAGGAGCGAGCGTTTGTAGAGTGTAGAGAGAGCTCTCCCTAGGTCAAGCAAGCAGCGATCATGTCCGTGACCAAGAGCCACAAGCTGGTGCTGGTGCTGGGCTCCGTCTACGCCAACGTGGTGGTGCAACTGGAGCGACTGCCTCTAGCTGGCGAGACGCTGGCCGCCAGGAGCAGCAGTTGCAGCGCCGGCGGGAGGGGAGTGAACCAGGCGGCGTGCGCCGCGCGCCTCTCCTGCCCGACCAACTTGATCGCCCAGGTGTGTGTGTTTTTTGAATGAAGGATCCATAGATTCCTCTCCTCACGCCAGGTCGGGAACGATGGACATGCCGCATTGGTGCGCGAGGCGCTGGCGAGCGCGGGAGTGCGGGTGGACCACCTGAGCACGGTGAGCGTTGCGACGGGGCAGGCGGTGGTGATGATGCAGGGCGTTGGCAAGACGGTCATCGTGGTGGAGGGAGCCAACGTGTCGTGGCCCCGTCTCGACGACGGATACGGGCGCCTCCAGCCGGCGGCGCAGCAAAACATCCGCGCCGCGGCGGTGCTGCTGCTCCAGCGAGAGATTCCCGACGCCGTCAACATCGAGGCCGCAAAGGTACTAAGAAAGCCATGTCATTGACTGCCAGGTTCCCGAAGCTAAAGCTGGCGATGCCAGATTGCAAAGACTGCCGGCGTTCCAGTGGTGCTGAGCACCGGCGGGAGCGAATCGCTGCTCCCCGCGGAGCTGCTCGAGTGTGTCACTGTGCTGAGCACGAGCGACGAGGAGCTGGCTCGGGCCGTGGGCTTGAAGGGCGACACCGAAGACGACGCCGTGGCTGCGGCCAGGAGATGCATTGCCGACATGGTAACTCCAAGTCTCTCTAGAGTGGTGGCTCATCGAGTGGTGTCTTTCTTCCGACAGGGCGTGAAGCAAGTGCTGCTCCAGCTGCGGAGCCAAGGACTGCTCCTGCTGGTGACGCAAGACGAAGAAACGGCTGTCGTTTCGGCTCCAACGTCGTCACTTGGCGATGACATCGCCACCGCAGCCTACGCGGTTGCGGCCTTCATCGATGCCCAGCCACATCCCTCCGCCCTCAAGTTCGCAGGTTCGCTTGCTTGCTCTTCTGCTTTTCTCTCTGCTCAAGAGTGTCCGTCCTTCGCTTCCAGCCTGCGCGGCGCTCCTGTGCAACCGGCCTGGCGGGATCGCAGCATTGCCGGACAGGAAGGCCGTGCTAGATCACCTTGTCCACCACTCGGAGGAGTGAGCTCCGAGAACTTGGGGATTGCGACGACGAATCGAGCAAAATAGATGTTTGTGTCCTTGTAGTGTACATATGCAAACGCGGAAATCGTTTTTGGATTGCTCGTCTTGCGTGAAGCTTCCCGAGTCCCCCGCTGGAATATCCTGGTCGGACCGTGTCAAACCACAGCTACGGTCGTCGTTTCAAGACCAAGAAGTAACGCATGCAAAGTTTGAGCAACGTGACCGCGAGCACGATAGAGATAAATAGCTGCCCTTGCCATCTGGACAGCCTCACTTTGTTCCACGACCACCGCGAGCCACAGGGAGCGCGAGAGATTAGCGATGGAGGCTGTCCGGTTGCAAGGAGCTAGGGTTTTGCGGGATGCCCAGGGCGGCGACGCTAGAGCGCTGCTTGGATCGCGGGGCAGCAGTAGCAGCAGCAGCAGCAGCAGCAGCAGCAGCACGAGTGGGCGCGTGAGGCTGCCGCTGCGCCGTTCCAAGTCGAGGCTGAGTGTGGTGGCGCTGGATGCTGCGCAGCCATTTGATTATGAGTCTAGGAGGATGGAGCAGATGCACAAGGAGAGCAAGCTCAAGGTCGGGATTGTGGGCTTTGGAAACTTTGGACAGTTCCTGGCGCAGCGGATCGTCAAGCAGGGCCACGCTGTGCTAGCGCATTCTCGCTCGGATTACTCGAGCTTGTGTGACGAAATGGGAGTTTCGTTCTTCAGGTATGGAATTTTCCCTTCTTGCATGTATCTGGCGATTCCATCGCATTCTTCGCTCTTGCTCGCAGGGACGTGGATGACTTTTGCGAGGAGCATCCCGACGTTGTGTTGTTGTCCACCTCCATCCTCTCGACTGAAGCCGTCTTGCGATCTCTGCCGCTTCAGCGCCTCAAGAGGAGCACCTTGTTCGTGGATGTTCTTTCCGTCAAGGAGTTCCCAAAGACATTATTCCAGCAGGTAATCTCTATACTGTTCATGGCCCGCGCATTGGTTTCTAAGCTCGAGATGCTTGCTCCGCACAGGTCTTGCCAGCCGAGTTTGACATTTTGTGCACGCATCCCATGTTCGGGCCCGAGAGTGGCCGGGGGAGCTGGAATTCTTTGCCACTTGTTTACGATAAAGTGCGGGTTGGAAGTGGCGTGAGGGACGAACGCTGCCAGAGGTTTCTTGAGATTTTCGAGCGAGAGGTAACGTCACCTCGTACGACTGCTTCCTTTTTCCTGAACTTTTCCTTGTGCCACAGGGCTGCCGAATGGTAGAGATGTCGTGTGCAGAGCACGACCGCTTCGCTGCGAGCAGCCAGTTTATAACTCACACTGTTGGAAGGTTTGTTGCAGACTCTGCCACTTTTGCAAATTCGCTCACTCTCTTTCCAGGATGCTGGGAAAGCTGGAGCTGGAGTCGACTCCGATTAACACCAAAGGATACGAAACACTTCTTGACTTGGTAAGATTGCAATGCCTCCCCCAATCTTTTCTCATCAGGCGTGCTCTCACCTCAGGTCCAAAACACTCAAGGCGACAGTTTTGACCTGTACTATGGCTTGTTCATGTACAATATCAATGCCACTGAAGAGGTAATATGGCTGAAAATCACGCAACTTCGTCATTGATCCCTTGTTTCTACAGCTTGAACGACTGGAGCTCGCGTTTGACGCTCTGAAGAAGCAATTGTTTGGCAAGCTCCACAATGTTCTGAGGAAGCAACTATTTGACGTAGGGAGTGCAGCAACCAACCATGCCGTGGCCGTCGCCTCCACCGCAGCAACTGTTGCTGCTTCTGACAAGATTAGCAATGGATCGGGTGTTGCTGCTTCAGAAAAGATTAGCAATGGATCTGCGGTCTCACAACTTACGCTTGTAAGCACTGTGGAAGAGGCCCAAGGCCACCAGTAACTTTGCCACACATTTTATTGAGTAGCTGTGAATAAACATTTTTTGGTAGAAAAGGTACCTCGCTTGTTCCCGGCACGGAAAAACGCTACAAACAGGTAGAGATAGATGCTTTAAAACAGGTGATGGTGATGGTGCTTCTTCCCTTCAACTTCGTCCTCACGGCGTTCGGTCGTCTTTACGGCGTGGTGCTCATAGAGGGCATAGCCTCCAGATCCGAGAGCCGCAACCCCAGCAATTTCCTCTTCGATTTTGTGAGTGCGAGCGTGCTCTGGATCCGCCTTCACCTCGTGTGCTTCATACTGCCCCCCAACACCAAGACGTTAAGAAAAAAATACATGAAATCCTTCACTGCAGCTTACCATTGCAAAGGCACCAGCTGCAAGAGCTGCGGCCTCTCCATAGTGTTCACGTTTCCTGTCAGCCTTCACCTCTTGCTCATAAGTCCCAAAAGCTCGCTGCTCCTCTAGCTGCTGCTCACGCTGCCGTTCCTCGTAGCTGGATTGAGGAAACTGGTGGCCGTAAGCCGCAGGTGGAGGATTCGCGTAAGGGGACTGCTCGTAAGACGACTGCTGATATGAGGACTGCTCGTAAGGCGACGGCTGGTAAGCAGGATTCCCATAAGCCGCTTGATAAGGAGAATTTACATCGTTGCCATAGGCTGCGTCCTGCTCCTGCTGGTGGTGGTGGTGGTGGTGATGAGCCATGCCTGCTGCAAAAAGGAGGCGGCTTAAATCAGAATCGGAGCCTCCCAGAAACACGCTTACTTGCTACCAAAATTGCCAATCACGGCTATTGATAGGAGATGATCCGCGTGATGATTCCCACCGCCAGTGTCCGCCCTTCGCTCCGCAAAACAACTCGTCCAAGGCCACGAAACTTTATATACTCTTGAACACATAATCCCCGCTCCGGTGCCACCTGAACGCGATACAAAGTCAAACTTGCTGAAGCCATCGAGACTAAAAGGAGATATACCTCGACCAACGCGCTTTGGTTAGACGTCAAGCAACGTGGGGACCGCTTGACGGCTTGGCCAGTTTTTGCATCGATCAAAGCCGTCAGATTCGTGACAGTACCTGGCTCCTTTGCATGATGTGCATGCACAACCACCTGAAGAATACTGCGTCACATTCCAAACACCAAAATAGAAACAAACCTGGGCACCGGGAAGCATCGGGAACGCGAGTTTCAGTGTCAGGATTCTCAGTTCGAAACGCGTGGCAATCGGGACCGGGTAATCGGGATGGCATAGAACTCCCCCGGGGACTATCACACCGGCATCAACTCCCTGTAGACCAATATCCACGCCATCACCGGCTCTTGCTGCTTGCAGAGCTTTCCCGTCCTGCTCTAGACTTTTGACAACCCCCACCTCCCTTGAAGGCATTACCATTACCTGCAACCAAACAAAACCGTAGAAACCAAATAGATGACGTGATGATAAAAAAGTGGAGGCCAACACACATACCTTGCTCCCAATTTTTATGGCTCCACTCTCGACTTTCCCACCCGCAGCAGCAGAACCAAGGGAACGTGATCTTACGACTTCAGCTACAGCCAGTCTGAAAGGCTTGGCGATGTCTCTCTCCGGAGGCTCAAGCCTGTTTAGAGCGTCAAGGAGCGTGCCGTCTTTGCCTGTGTACCTGGTCCATGGCAAACCAGTTAAAGATGATTCCAAATCATGAAACTAAGAAATGCTTACCACGCTCGAAACAATTCATCACTCGGAGTTGAGACCAGGTTCTCTCCAGCGATTGCACTGACAGGAACGTAGGACACGCTCGAGTCCCGAAATCCACAATGTCGTAAAAACGGAGTAAGGATGCGCTTGATCTCTTCAAACCTCTCTTGCGAATACTGCACCTCATCCATCTTGTTCACAGCTACAACAAGCTGGCTTACTCCAAGGCTCCGAACTAATTGAGCATGCTCTCTTGTCTGGCCACTCTCGCGGCCTTCTGCTCCCATTCCAGCTTCAAAGCCACCTTCCGCGGCGTCAACAACAAGAACAGCAGCATCAGCTTGCGAAGCTCCAGAAATCATGTTAGGCACGAAGTCCTTGTGACCGGGGGCGTCCAACAGTACGACACGTAGTTTAGCTGTCTCAAAGTGAGCCACGGCAACCGTTATAGTAACACCCCGTGCCCTCTCCTCAACGCCCTCGTCAAGCGCCCAAGCGTACGCAAAAGAACCTTTTCCCTGTGAAGTGAACACGTCATGACATAAAAGACTCAAAAATAAAAATGATACAAACCATCTCGTTAGCCTCCTTTGTGTTCTTGTGCATTTCCTTGTGAGAAACTCGTCCCAGGCTATACAGGATTCTTCCCATCAATGTGGACTTGCCAGCATCAACATGTCCAACCTGCATGTTACTCGTTGATAAATCAAGACCATGAGGAACTACTTAAAGCTTACCACTACAAGGTTTAACAAGCTCTTCTCCGCAGTTTTTGATCCTAGGTGCATCATCCATGGCTCGGGCTTGTAGCTTTCCAGCGGCAACCCCTTGTTACTCGTAGACTGCAACCGTTGCTTTGAGCTTTCTTTGACGTCTTCGCTATCACCGTCAAGGACCAGGCTCTTTTTCAGCTTTTCGGATACGCCGTGCTCCTTGTCGCTCAGCTTGCTCTGGTTTCCAGGTGAATCCGAAGTAGGCGCTGCTGCTTTGGACTTTGCTCTTGCATGGCTGTTAGCTGGAAGCAAAGAAAGAGAGTCAGTCACATAAGATGGAGAGAGAAAAAATAAAAGCTTTTCACCTTGCACGGGCTTTTTGCTTCCTTGTACTGCTCCGAGTATTGCATCATCTGGAGAAGGTCCGTCAAACTTGAAGGGCACTGTGCAAGGGCCACTTCAGCCCAAATAAGTTTTCAGCAACTAATCAAGCTCAAACAAGGCAGAGCTACCAAGCACCAGAGCTGACTCTATCGAAAGTGAGGCTGACTGACCTATCGGGGAGGAGCTAGAGGAGGACACAAGGTCTCCGTCACTGCGTGACTGGAAAGTTTGCTTAATGCTCTCGGATGTTATGCCTTTCTTGAGTGCCAGAGGAGGGAGAGGAGCAAACAAGGACGTTGCAAGCTGCGAAGGCTCAGCCCTTGGACGCGCACTTCTAACTGCATTGATGGATTCAATCGGGCTACTACGATCGTTTTGCTCAGCAAGTTTTAGAGTGATTTACCGGAAGCGTGAATTGGAGCTGGAGAGTCTCGCACCACTCCACACATCTCACACGACTGATGTTCCTCCAGATTATCGTATGTACAGATGGGGCAAGCCCAGATTGGTTGCTGCGGCGCTGTTCCTGGAAGAGATCCGGAGATAAATCCCGCGCTCGTCGATGAATCTCTTACCCGGAGCTGAGGCTGAGCTGCTGTCGGCGTAATCTTCCTCCTCGTAGTCATCGTAGTAGTCATCATAGCTGTCGTCGTAGTAGCTCTGCCGGCTCCCCTTGCGCGGCATTGCTCGACACTGATAAACCCTAAAAATGCCGAAGAACCCTAGATTCTGGGGAGCATGAATGACGAGGACGCGACGGTGATTGCGTGCTTGGATTCCGCGGATGCGATCCTCAGGCTTCGCGATGTGCTCAACACGCAACTCCAGCAGGCAAGTGAGTGCTACATCGTCTAGCAGCTCTTTTTACATCGCATTTTCTTCCAGGGGTGGATGGAGATGGCGCGTGCTCGCTACTCCATGGGGCATTCCAGGATCAACGAGTCGCTCTTCAGCATGAGAGCGCACCGCTCGCTTGTGTGCGTTAGCGGTAAGCTCTGCTTTGCGCTGGATCGAAATCAAAGCTAGGGCGATTTCTTCACAGAAGGCGAGCTGGAGATCAAGCCAAGCGGCTCTGCGCAAGGTAAGTAGCTTCTTTCCTCGTCTCTTAACTGTGCCATTCTCTCGCATCCAGAAGAAGAAGAAGAAGACTCGAGTGACGATGAAGTGGTGGTACGAGAAGATTGTTTCGCCTTGCGATGTTGTGGTGATCGTCGTTACATTCGCAGATGATGGACAGCAAGAGAGTGGATCCCCTGTGCTGGTTTGGCAGCCTCGTCTCGCCTCACTTGCGAGCTTCACAGCAATCCTTCCAGAAAGGTTCGTGCACAACACTAGATAGAGTGAGTAATCGCGATCGCTTTTTTTTTTTTTCTTTTTTCCTCCAGCATTGCGGACACTGGTGGAAATCGCGAACGCTCAATGCGACGCACAGATCCAGTGCGGTAAGAACGATTGCTTTCGGCATCGAATGTTCTTCAAATCAACACTCACTCTCTTTCTTTCCGATTTTTTGTGTTCTTCCCAGACAAAGTATCGAGCGGGAGGGGTCCAAGCCAGTAATTACGAATGACGACGATGTTGCTGGCTGGCCAAGGAAAACCAGGTCACGAAATCACGATCTACCCACGTCTGCCCTAGCCGGCACGTGTCGGTGGATCTCCAAAACGGCAGCTCTGTTTTGTGTAGGAGGACCTAATATATTTCCATGCTCTCTTTCTTTGCGCGTCTTTCTGGTCGCGGGCACGAGCTGGGATAGAGGAGGAGGACGCGGTCGTCTCCACATCGCCAAGGCACAGCCCTCGAGCGTGAGTGTGTTGGTGCGGTAGATCTGGTAGATCTGTGCGTGTGCGTGTGTGGAATCTCAGCCGATCTACGCCAGGCCGCCAGGATGGTGAAGATCTGCTGCATTGGCGCCGGGTATGTGGGCGGGCCGACCATGGCGGTGATTGCCCTCAAGTGCCCCGAGATCGAGGTGGCGGTGGTGGACATCTCGCTGCAGCGGATTGCGCAGTGGAACAGCGAGAGCCTGCCAATCTTCGAGCCCGGGCTGGACGAGGTGGTGAAGGCGTGCCGCGGGAGGAATCTCTTCTTCAGCTCGGACGTGGAGAAGCACGTCGCGGAGGCGGACATCGTGTTCGTGTCCGTGAACACGCCCACCAAGACGCGCGGGCTGGGCGCGGGCAAGGCCGCGGATCTCACCTACTGGGAGAGCGCCGCGCGCATGATCGCCGACGTCTCCAGATCTGACAAGATCGTGGTGGAGAAGTCGACGGTGCCCGTCAAGACCGCCGAGGCTATCGAGAAGATCCTCACCCACAACAACAAGGGCATCAACTTCCAGATCCTGTCCAACCCCGAGTTCCTGGCCGAGGGCACCGCCATCGACGACCTGTTCAAGCCCGACCGCGTGCTCATCGGCGGCCGCGAGACCCCCGACGGCCAGCGCGCGGTGGCGTCGCTCAAGGCCGTCTACGCGCACTGGGTGCCCGAGGACCGCATCCTCACCACCAACCTGTGGTCCGCGGAGCTGTCCAAGCTCGCCGCCAACGCCTTCCTGGCGCAGCGCATCTCCTCCGTCAACGCCATGTCCGCGCTGTGCGAGGCGACCGGCGCGGACGTGTCCGAGGTGGCGTTCGCCATCGGCAAGGACTCGCGGATCGGCCCGCGCTTCCTCAACTCGAGCGTCGGCTTCGGCGGCTCGTGCTTCCAGAAGGACATCCTCAACCTCGTCTACATCTGCGAGTGCAACGGGCTGGCGGAGGTGGCCAGCTACTGGAAGCAGGTGGTGCACATCAACGACTACCAGAAGAACCGCTTCGTCAAGCGCGTCGTCTCCTCCATGTTCAACACGGTGTCGGGCAAGAAGATCGCGGTGCTGGGCTTCGCGTTCAAGAAGGACACGGGCGACACGCGCGAGACGCCCGCCATCGACGTCTGCAACGGCCTGCTGGGCGACAAGGCGCTGCTGAGCATCTACGACCCGCAGGTGTCGGAGGAGCAGATCCGCCGCGACCTGGCCATGAACAAGTTCGACTGGGATCACCCGCAGCACCTCCAGCCGCTGAGCCCCACCGCCTCCTCCAACAGCGTGCGCGTCGTGTGGGACGCGTACGAGGCCACCAAGGACGCGCACGGCATCTGCATCCTCACCGAGTGGGACGAGTTCCGCAAGCTCGACTTCCGCAAGATCTACGCCGCCATGCAGAAGCCCGCATTCGTCTTCGACGGCCGCAACATCGTCAACGTCGACGAGCTGCGCGACATCGGCTTCATCGTCTACTCCATTGGCAAGCCGCTCGACCCCTGGGTCAAGGATCTGCCAGCCTCCTCCTGATTGATCTTGTTGTGATCTGAGTAACCAACGCTAAGCGCTTTCGCGGCTGGCTGGCCTCCTTCCTACTTGAAGAAGATTTTTTTGTTTCGCAGGGGCTTTAAAGAGCCACCATTTTTTTTCATGATCCATCTATCTAGGCACTAGGCAGTAAGTTAATCAATAATCGAATCGTTCTTTTTGTTGGGCACTTCAACTTTTCGCTTCTTGTTTGTCACTCATTATAACATCCAAGTTTGCTTGTATTCTTTCTGGTCTATCTAGAAGAGACATGAGCCACACAGCGAAAAAAAAGGTTTAAGTATAAAAAAATGTCAGAATGTCTTTGCTACCACTTTTTTTTTTCAAGATCGAGTTCGATTTGGGCACTTTTCTTGTCACTAAAACATCAAGTTTGTTCGTATGTACACTCACTAGCTGGTTTTGAGCCTCTCGAAGAGGATCACGAACCACAAAACAAAAAAACAAGGAGACCAGAGAGTATACTAAGCAGAAAAGATTGTAAGAATTTCGTCGATATCTATCATGCCCGTCACGACCCGGACCGCAGCACCGCTACTGACGCAGACTTTCCACGATGTAGGACGCGTACAGATCCCTGAAACAAGCAAAGAATCACGGCTTTAGTCTAGTGTTTTCTACGCTAGCGAGTGAGAGTGTATCCCACTCAAGTCCCCACACTCACATGGAATGCTGGATCGCCTGCACGGCGTTTTCTGCTGGCAGGAAGTCGTTCACCGCCACGGTCTTGTTCTCGTTCTTCTTGTCTGACTCCCTCCAGTTAAAGAAAGCAGACAAAGAGAGAAAATTCCAACACGCTCACACAGCCGGCACACAAAAGGATACAGTCCTCGAAGAACCTCCGGATCTCTGCCAGCCTGTGGGGTGGGAGATCCTTGATGTCTTGGTAGTGTGTGAACTCGGGATCGTCAGCGCACACGGCGATGATCTTATCGTCCTTCTCGCCCTGGAGCGGTCCACCAATTAATCTTCCATATGCATTCAGACAAGAGCAAGATGATTGTTACCTGATCAATCATCGGCATCAGTCCAATCGCTCTCGCTCGCAGAAAGCATCCAGGCAACACAGGCTCCTGAAACCCCCACCGTAGTAACTTCGTCTTACAAAAAGAACACTACCTGCATCAGGACCAAGACGTCCAATGGATCGTTGTCTTCGCACAGAGTACGAGGAATGAAACCATAGTTGTGGGGGTACACGACCGACGAGTACAGCACCCTGTCAACCTGCGCAGTTTAAAAATAAGAAGTATCCAAAATGTTTGTTCTCCTCAATCAAACCTTGATGAGACCACTCTTCTTGTCCAGCTCGTATTTCACTTTGCCTCCTTTGCTGATCTCCACAACCTGCACACGAGGCCTCACTCACCATCAAGCTCAAGATCAATCGCGGAAAATGGGCAGCGACTTACACAGTTGAAGACGGCAGGTGCTCCGGGGCCTAAGGAAAAAACATTGTGTGTGAGCGATTCCTTCCTGCATTTGAAAGAAGCAACAAAGACGCAAGCTTTACCGATTTCGAGATCGTGCCAGGGATGCGCCGCGACGGAGCGGCGGGAGAGCGACGAGAGGATGCGCTTGTTAAGCGGGCTTTTGGCAGAACCCGAGTTCGCGATCGGTCCATTGGGCGTCGACATCGCTCTGCTCGAACTAGAGCAACAAAAAAAAAAGTTAGGGAAGAGCGATGAAACCACGCGTGCGATCCAAGATTCCAGAGGACATCTCAGAGAATCCGCATTGCGCATTCTACCAAAACCTACGCTCACCAGATTCCAATCGAAATCGAGCCAAGGGGAGATCCTCAAGCGGTAGCGGCAGCGCCGCCTTTTTGGACTAGGTCGCCTGCTGCGAGATCGCAGATCCGCAGCGCTTTCTTCCGCTCAAAATGCGCACACGATCGATCGTCGCGCCCTCGTCTTCCTTTTCCCACTCAAGAACGAGCTGCCATAGCCCTGTAAAGGAAAAAATGTAGGGTATATATACCAGCACCTAGGCGCATATTCGAACATACTGCCACGTCACTGGGAAATTTGCGAGAATTCAGCCATAACTTCGTGTGTGGTCCGGGTTGAAACGATCAGCCACTGCTTGCTGCCTTAGAATTTGTCCAAGTTTCCAGCCATGGTCTTTCAACGTTTTAAGAAGAATCTCAGTAAAAAATTTACGGCCAAAACTTTGATTTGAGCACATTCATGTAAGTTTCTGGGTTTTTTCGTTTTTTTTTCTTTCTTCAAACCCGAGAGCGACCGCTCAGTAAGAAACGTGCAACCTCCGGAGCTCTGCCTGGAACACGGAACTGGCGTTCAATGTTTTCTGCGCGAGATTTCTTATGTCCTCTCGCGAGCACTCCCTGGAGATCCGAACAAGCTCCCACAGTGCTCCGCCAGTAGCCAAGTCCCTGGCATTCACTTCTGCATTGGGAGGTCGAGCCTCTGGTGAGAGATCCGCCGCTAGAAAAGGAACAAAGAAACTTACCATGCTGTGCCAGATGACAAAGCGCGAGCTCGATGTGTCTACGAATAGGAGACGACTCGTTATTGGCATTCGCAACTATCCAGGGAAGCGCTCCATCTTCAATTAGCAGCGACCTCCCCACCCGATGACCTGCATTTGTCGGCTGAGCAAGGCTACAAACTGGAAAGTAAAATTCTTACCGCTCTGAGAAACGGCACGAGATTCGCATTTTGCAAAGTTGGCTATCCCTCTAGCAACCTGGGCCAAAACGTCTGGATGCCTTGTTCTCACCATCCCGAGAAGGGCCTTAATACCACCTTCATCTCGCAGCTTCACTTGTAACGTTTCTGCAAAGGGGGACAGACATGATGACAGCTGATTTCAAAAGAATTAAGCGCATACCATTGCCGCATAAATTCGCAATGGCGCCAGCAACCATCCTTAGAGTTTGAGGATCCTCGGCTTCGTTCGCTGTTGTCGCTAGAAGCGTGATACCGCCTTGTCCCATTATAAGCTCTTGATTTTTTTCTGCCGTTTAAAGAGCCATGTTATTGATGCAATACGTACAGGAAATGCTTACCATTCATAGCCAAATTGGCAATAGCACCAGCAGCTACGCGCCTGATAGTTTCGTCCTCGGAGTTGCCTAGCAGCACCAACAATGACTTGAGGCCTCCAGCTTCCACGATTTTCTCCTGGTTTGCTTCTGCAACCAAAGCACTATGTACTGGTTATCATACCATTGCAAATATTTCATAATGCTAGTTACCTTCGGCAGCAAGATTTGCAACGACCTTTACAGCGTGCACTCTAACGTCGGCATCTTCCGACTCCAACAAGGACAGGATCTTTTGCAGGCCAACTAAATGCTGCATGGTTAAAAATGTTCAAAACAGCATTGAATCAGCTTACCTTGTTCGAAAAGCTTTGCAATTGTAGCTCGCTGACCATTGATTGTGTCTCTTAGGATGTTTGGCCTATGCAAGTTCAAAGGACTATCAGATCCGAATGAACTCCTACCAGAGCCTCCTTTCTCAATTCTCTTGATCTGCATTGGCAATAACATAAAACAATTTGAGATGATAACCCGACCTCATACCTCAGCATCTTCGTTACTTTGGGCTAGTTGATATCTCAAGTTCCTGATTTCCTCCTCCCGCTTCTTTCTCTGCTTGCTTTCTTCATCGAGTTTTTTCTTGAGATTCAAAATTTCCTCATTCTGCTTTTCCTTCAAAACCATCATATGAATTTGTTTTTTCACCAGCTCTAATCTAAAGGAAATCAAATGAGGACTGTACCTTGATGGCTTCAGTGCTACCGGTCGAGTAGTTTTCCTTGTTCTGAAGCATCCTCAACTCAAGTTCCAAGTTCTCACGGGTAAGGCGTTCCTTATCAAGTCGCTCCTTCAGCTCAGTAAGCTGATCAGCAACACATTGCTCTGGCACCTGCATCAAGACAAATAAGCTTTCTGACTGACTTCCAAAGCAGGAATCTACCTGTTTTGAGCTACTTCTAAGAGCTGAGAGTTCCTCTTCAAGCTGCAGCCTTAGAGTTCGTTCTATTTGGAGCTGTTCTGATAGATTGAGGTTCTGACGTTTGTAGTTGTCTGCCAAATTTGTGATTTCCTCCTCGTGTTTGATCCTTTCGGCGTGTATCTCCCTCTGAGGACGTTATCTCGATAGGAGTAAGAGAGCAGAAATATATTAATACCTCTTTTTGACTGTTTAAACCTGCTGCATTCTCCTCCAGCTTTTTTTCCAAAGATTTTATGTCATTAACATGATGCAATGCTTGCCTGCGTAGTTCCTCAGTATCCTTTTGGTATCTTGATCGTTCCAAAGACATTTCCTAGAAAAAGAAAAAACAAACGTGTTAAGATAAACAAAAAACGAAAAAGGAGACTTACCCCCAAGGCTGATGCAAGCTTACCCTCTGCCTCTGCAACGCGAGATCTCGCTTGATTAAGCTTGTCATGAAGCTCCTCTTCAGCATCAACAACAGCTTTCACGTGTCTTTCGTTCTCCACAATAAGCTTGTCCAAATCAGCTTCCAGTCGACGACACAAACTTTTATAGTCGAATTCTTCTTTCAGCTTCAGCATGTTTTCGACTTTCATAGCCTATAAACCGTGTGATCAACTTTGATGAGAAACTTGATGCAAAACACTTACCCGTTGACCGAACAAGATGGTACTGGCAGTTTCTCCGCGATGGCGAGGTGATGGTCCAATGGTTGTTATTAAAGACGTTCTTGCACTACCTAAGATTTGTTGCTGAAGTTTTACATGGGAAATGAGCTTTGTATGAAGTGTTACCTCCAAAGGAGTCCCTTAGCAGCCTTGTCAGCTTCGAATCCCTGGTAGGAACATGCGGGCTGTTCTCAGCGAGTGCGTTAATGCACTTACCAAGAGCTGTGAGAGAGAGATTAATGAACTTCGCCTCTTCTAAGGTGATCCCCTCGCTGCCTGTGGCAACATGTCAATCTCGATGCAGTTGGTTACAGGTCCGCTTACCAGATTTATCAACACGCTCTGATCCTGCCAAGTCAACTATAAGCAATTTGCTTCTCCGAATAACTGGTGCACGGCTATTCCGCGACCCGTTCTCATTCGAACTTTCCTTGGCTTTCACATGCTTTTTGATATACACCTGAACGTGCACCAACAAGAAAAGAAAAACGAAAAACGAAATGAGAATGGAAATGAATGGAAGCAACGTAACACACTCACGAGGAGAACTGCGTGACTTCTCGAAGATTCTGTGTTAAGCTTGGTGTTTGCGGCAACTCTATTGGCTTCTCCGGTTTGTAAGAGTCCAATAAAGCTTTTGTAGTCCTTCAGCTGAATCAGTGTGGCTCCGGGCACAGACACGTCTCCAGTTTTAGGGTCCTCAGCAATAGGAATGTTGTCCCTCTCAGGTGCAAGCAGATCTTGGATAGACTCCATGTAGAGCTGTTAACATCCCTCGAAAACAATTACTCTGCGTAGAGCTTGAAAACCAAAACCTCACCTGGAGATAGGAGACATAAACAGTATCATTTTCTGGATTGGTATCAGCCATGATATCTTCCAGCGCACGGACCATAATCCCCCTATCAGCACAGTCCTCCTCTCCTAGCTTGCCAAGAGTGTAAGTTTTTCCCGTGCCAGTTTGCCCGTAAGCCATCACTGTCCCATTGTACCCGTCTAATACACTCTGCGAAGAAGTGAAAATGTTACTTTAGAGCTCGTTTGTAGAAAGCTCGGACAGACCTCAACAACAGGTTTGGCGACAACTTCATACACTCTTTTTTGAGACGCTGTGTCCGGAAAGACCTCATCGAATTGGTATGTCTCCGAATCCCAGTTGTTCTTGCGAAGCTTTAATCTCTTGAGCTGTGCATGACAGAGAATGCACGTTAGCAATGCCAGAGCCAGTAAAATCTCAATTCTTACCTCTGGCTGGAGCTCGACGCCGTCTGGAAAATCCGCATCCGCGACAAGCTCCTCGGCGTTCCTGGGCCGAAGCCTCACTGCCACTCTCACTCTTGCTGGATCGGCAAACATGTAACGATATCATACAAGGATCCTGGTTGCAAAACAAGAAAAAGGCTCACTCACCTCCCCCATCGTTCTTCCCTGCGCTGCTTCTCCGCGGCGCCGACAGAGACGCTGACCTAGGCCTGGAACTCATGCTCGTCGCGCTCGTCGTCGGCGCAGCAGCTGCAGCTGATTGGGCGCCACTCTTCATCGCTCATGGATCGCCCGAAATACCGCGCTGTGATCGAAATATCGCGATTCAGCGCATCCCCGCGCGAGATTCAACCTGCATTCTCTCGGAATCGCCAAGACCTAATCGTCCGTGACCAGGAGAGCGCGACGCGGCTGCCGCCGGCGGCATAGAGACAAAGCACAGGAAGAACTGTTTGAGGGGGACGGCGTAAAGCCCAACGAGAGGGAAGAGAGAAAGATACCCCAAAATATGCCCTCCCTCTCCTCTTTTCTTTTGGTTTTCTTCGAGTGTGTCTTCTTTCTTCGGCGTCGTGCGTTCGTGGGTGGTGCGTGCGCTGACGTGGCTGCGGACGTGGACGTTACATGGCACGTCCACCCAGCACGTTGACATTTTTGTTAATAGAAACCAACACGAACGCACACCATTTGTTCGTTGATGCCCGCCGCTATTTCTTTTTCCCTTTCTCTCCCCAACGCTCGTTTCCATTCAAGCTCCTCCAGCGAGCTCCACGAGCTCCATCCATCCACAGCTTCTTTTAAGCGCGATCTTCCATCTCGATCGATCCATTTAGACATCCATCAATCTATTGAAGCATCGATCGAAGAAAATTTATTGTGTGGCTAGTGGCGATGATCACATTTCTATCACACCTCCACGAAGAACCAAAAAAGGACTAATCCTCCTAAAAGACCCGCGATCACGCAATCCGCCTATACACAAGGAACTCTTCCTGTTCTTCCCCCTCGTACACTGCCGATCGATCTGGAGTGAATCAATTGTGGAGAGGATTGGGTCCCGTGGGAACCGTTCTCTTGGAGGTTCCAAACATTGGAGGGCTGCAGAGGTGATCGGCGTCACACGGGGAAGAAGATGATGCCGCTTGCTCCTGCAAAGTCGCGGTGACCTCCGTCGCGATGGATGGCTCTCTGGAATCAAGCCTCGGATCGCTGCTGCGGGGAATTCCGCGATCGGGAGCTGGACCATGTCGCGCCTGGACCAAGACCGGGGCCACAACAAGCATTGCCACCGTTGCCACCATCAAAATCTTCGCCATCACCAAAGTCATCGCTGCGGCTGCTCTGCTGCTGCTGCTGATCGAGAACTCGACACCGATCGATCGATCACCTGAGAATTCCTGATGCGCGAAGAACAAGGATCCCTTCCTCCAGCTAACGCTGCTTTGACTTTGCGTCTGGGGGTGTATTTTCTCTTTTTTATGTGATACAGCTGAGGACTTTGGCTTGGAACAAACAACACGCAAACAAAACAATGGTAGAGTCAAGGATCAAGGATCAAGGAATGGGCCAGGGAAAGAATTTTATCAAGAGAACGCGCAAATCAACCGAACTTTGGGAGATAGGCAATAGGTATTGCGTGCTTATATAAAGAGGATCATCCCCAGGAGGGACCGTCAGTTCACTCATGCCTCCCGAATCCATGTGTGTTAGTTTAAAACCCCACATTAGTTTGTTAACTACGCCACCTCCTCTCGTCGCCATCTCGCCGCCCCGGTTCGAATCTTCCCGGGTGTTTGTGGCAGACAGTGCGCGGCCGTAGCGTGAGCGAAAGGAAAGCGAAAACCCTAGAAAAGCCCTAATCGCAGGGGATGCTCTGTTCTAGGGCAAGGGCCCCACACGTGTTTAGAACCCTATACTACTCAGCAATGGAGGCGCTAGAGAGGAGGACGAGGTAAATTTCTTCCCGATCGATCGCTCGATCCATCCATTTCTTGATCGGCGATGTCCGCGGCGATTGGAGTGCCGCTGCTGGAGGCCATCTACTGCCTGGGGTGTACGCGCTGGGCGTACAAGCGATGCATCTACATCGGGGCAGACGATAGCAGCTCTTGGACGGCGGCGGATGCGCACGAGCTGGAGCCGATCCCGCGCGTGTGCCAGCTCGTCCTGGCGGTGTACGAGAGGGATTTGCAGCACCCGAAGTGGGCGCCCCCCGGCGGCTACAAAATCTCGCTCGAGAATGTGGTGAAGAAGACGAGCGATCTGGAGAGGATTGTGCCACCGTATCTCATCTATGTGGATCACGAGCACAGGGACATCGTTCTGACGATTAGGGGGCTCAACCTCCGGCGGGAGAACGACTACTTGGTTCTTTGGGACAACAAGCTTGGCAGGCAGGAGTTTCTGGATGGCTATGTCCACCATGGATTGCTCAGAGCTGCGGTGTGGCTGCTCTACCAGGAGAAGGAAACGCTCAGGAACTGCATCACCAAGTACCCCACGTATACTTTGACGTTTGGAGGACACTCTTTGGGTTCCGGAGTGGCCGCGCTCATGGCTGTTCTAGCGATCCAATTCCCGTTTCTTCTCGCGGATATCCCTCGGAAACAGATTCGCTGCTACGCCATAGCTCCTGCCAGGTGCATGTCGCTCAACCTTGCTGTCAAGTACGCAGATGTCATCAACTCGATCATCTTGCAGGTGAGAGCTCGCTTTTTTATCGTTCTTTTCTCCACACCAGAGTGGTTTGTTTGTTTATGGCCTTCTGACTTCCACAGGACGACTTCCTTCCTCGGACGGCTACCCCTCTGGAAGATATCTTTAAGTCGATGTTTTGGTAAGCAAAGGATTGCTTTCGAGTGTTTGCGTGACCGATGGATTGGCTAGTCTTCCTTGTTTGCTAGGCTACAGATGCCTCAAGGACACCTGCATTTCGGAGGAGAAGCTGCTGCATGACCCCAGGCGGCTGTATGCACCCGGAAGAATGTATCACATCGTCGAGCGGAAGTTTTGTAGGTAACCATCCTTTCTCATGGCTTATTGAGTTTCTCTCGTCCTTTGCGGAAGCAGCTGCTGGAAGCATCCTCCGGTAGTCAAGTCCGGCATTCCCGTGGAAGGACGGTTCGAGCACATTGTTCTCTCGTGCAATGCAATCTCGGATCACTCCATTCTGGCGATCATGGAGGAGTCAGAAAAAGCTTTGCAGGTACTTAAGACCAAACTTGTATAACTTTGCGTAAAGATGGCTTTGCTGTGTAGATGCTGAGGGACAAAGACACCGAAACGAACACGCCACCAATCCAAAAGATGACAAGGCAGCAAACGCGGGCTAAAGAACAAGACGAAGAACACAAGGCAGCTCTCAGGAGAGCCGCGACGCTCGAGGTCCCATCAGCCGGCTACGAATCAGCAGACGAAACTCAAGCAAATGGAAACGGCGATTGTGGTGTTTGTCCCGACGATGAAGCAGCGGGCGAGGTTTGTCCACAACCAGAAGCCCCCTGCGAAGCTGGTCAGCTCAAGTTGAAGATCGAGTGGGACGAACTGCTAGACAAGTTGTTCCGGAAAGACGACGCTGGGAAGTTTGTGTGGAATAAATAAGAGGCCTCAGCGATGCATTTGTAAATGGGAAAGGTGTGGAATAAAAACTCGTGAGGGTCTTTCTTTATACGTGTCGCTAAAGAGCCCTACGTAGTGGAAAAGTAGGCTATGGCGCTCGAATGCTCCGTGTTCGCTTCTCACTCCTCCATGAAGTCCGGCTTGCGCTCCCTGGCTGTGCGATCCTCTCACACCGCGGTCTCGACGACAGCGTCACAGACTTCGCACACAGCGATTCGGACGCCACACAGCGGGTAAGTCCCACATTTTTGCTCGCTCTTTGCTCGATCAAAAGCTCTCCTCCAGGTACCATTTCGATGGATCCAGCCGGCGCTTTATGGAGGGATGGTACTTCAAGGTCGCACTTCCTGACGAGAAGCAAAGCTTTGCATGGATGTATTCCATTGAGGATCCTGCATTCTCGGAAAGCCCGAGTGGGATCAAGGAACTCGTCAAGGGGCCGAGGTTTCCCGGCATGGGAGCTCAAGTTCTTGGACCGAACGACGAGTATTTGTTTCAGTTCCAAGACACCACTAGAAAGTTCTGGGCAAGTAAGTTTGGAAACTTCGCTTAGTTCCAGCGCTCACAGGATTTTACCAGGTCCAACCGAGCTGGCTTTGGGTGGTACATTCGCGTCTAAGAAAGGGAGCTCGCCACCAAGATCACTGCTCCCATCCCAAGTAAAGCGTTTGCAAGTTTGGTCGTAAGTACTGAAACCAAAAAACTTTCGACCGTCTGCGATGTCGGGCAGGAGTTTGATACACGCGTAGAAGAAGGATTTCAAGTGGACGCGTTCTGGCACCAAGGATTTCTCCGTGACAATGGGAGGTTCGTTTGAACTTGACTCCTTCGTTTTTTTTTTTCCTGAGACTTAATTCTTTCGCCAGGTCGCCAAAGCTAAACACCGTGGACAGTGTGAGATGGGAGTATAGCACACGGCCATTGTACGGCTGGGGAAATTCTGGTTCTGGACAAAAAGCAACAGCGGGGTGGCTGGCTGCTTTTCCGGTTTTCGAGCCCCACTGGCAAATCTGCATGGCGCACGGACTTTCAACAGGTTGCCATTCTTGAGTTTTTGTTGTTTGATCTTGACGGTGTCAGCTATATCTTCTTATAGGCTGGATACAATGGGGCGAGAAACGCTACGAGTTTGAGGACGTTCCTTCGTATGTTGAAAAAAACTGGGGCGGAACTTTCCCGGAGAAGTGGTTCTGGGTGAGATATTTAGATTGACTTCCAGCATGCTACAATGTTTGCGTGATTTTCGACCAGGTCCAATGCAATGTTTTCGAAGGCTCTTCCGGAGACGTAGCACTGACTTCCGGAGGAGGAAAGCGCGGTCTACCATTTCCTCCTGGAAGCTTTGAAGAAGTTGCCATGGTTGTAGCTGTTTTCCTAATGACCAACTGACGAATATACACTTGTTTCGCTACTCAGGTAGGTGTGCACCACGCTGGAAAATTCTACGAGTTCGTTCCATGGGCAGGCGAAGTGGAATGGGAGATAACTCCTTGGGGCAGCTGGAAGATCGCAGCAAGCACCATAGAATATGAGGTTGGCCTGCTAAACCGGTTCGATCGCGGAGTTAACTTTCGTGTCCTTTTTCTCCACCTAGGTGTTGCTAGAAGCAACAACAGATACACCAGGGACAGTGCTCCGTGCTCCAACTAGAGATGGTCTGGTTCCAATTTGTCAGGACACTTTTGATGGAAAGCTGAAGCTTCAGATCTGGGAACGCAGTGTCAACGGCGTCAGAGGAAAGGTATGTTTCTCTGTGTGTGTTTTCTTTTCTTTCTTTCTGTAATCCACGGAACTTACATTATTTTCTGGCAGCTGGTGTTGGATGTCACGAGTGAAATGGCAGCACTCGAGGTTGGCGGCGGACCGTGGTACACAACCTGGAAGAAAAAGAGTAGAATGGCGGAACCGCTGAGATCCTTGGTAGGCTTGCAGCTGGACCTGGAGAGCATTTTCTCAAGCGTTCCCGCACTAAAACCACCCGGACTGTGAAACCAATCTTGTCGATGAAAAGAAAACACACAGGTCTGATCAAATTCACATTTTTACGAGTTACAGAGCGAGGGCCGACACAGGATTTGCATGCAGGGCTCAATCAAACGCGTGGCGGAATCCGGATGCTATTTCAGCTGGTCCGGACGAGAGCGCAGACAAAGAGAAACGCAGAAGCAGGATCATGGGCGCCTCGCAGTCTCAGCAGCTAGAGCAGCAGCCGAGCGGCGGCGTGGTCTTTCCCGGCGAAGAAGAAGAGAGGGGCTTCTATGGACAGCCAGCTTCGACCATGGAACCGGCACCGCCACCTCCAGCCAGCAGCTACACCCTCTTCATGAACGCCTTGACAGCCTTCGTGCCGGAGGAGCACGTAGGCCGGCTGGTGATGTACATGGCAATCTTCGGTCTCCTCTTCGCGGTGATCGGCTTGATCGGCCTCGTCTTCCCGTTCGTTTTCGCTATAGCGGTGGAGCAAGTGATGGGAGCTGTGATGGTGCTGGGTGGGATCTTCTCCGCGGTGCAATTCGGGGTCATGTACGACATACCCGGGAACAGCTCGTTTCTTCTCATGGGATTCCTGCATTTGGGATTCGGGCTGTGGATGCTGCTCCAACCGGTTGAAGCCGGAGTCATGCTCATGTTCGTGCTCTCTGGATGGCTCCTGGGACATGTAAGTTATCTTCTTTGTATTGATCAACTTTGCTTGTGTGTTTTCTTGTTTGCAGGGGCTGCTCAAGACCTTCATGGCTTGTCAAGTTCGTAACTTGTCGTCGTGGCCGTTTGTGTTCGTGAGTGGAATTCTTTCGATACTGCTGGCGCTGCTTATCCTCGTCCTGGCTCCCAAGTACGGTGTGGTTCTTTTGGGAATTACTTTTGGCGCAGACATGTTTGTCTCGGGGCTGTCGATGATTTTAATTGCCGCAACCACTTACTTCTGTAAGTAGTCTGACCATGATCCATTTGTTTTTTTAGTGTCCGATTCTAACTTTCTAACCTTTTTTTTTTGTTCTTCCAGCCCGGAGAAGTCGTCCTCGGATCGACACTGAGCCTCTGCTTCCACCTGCGACAGCTCCTCCTGCGTAGCTACGTGTTTCTATTCTTTTTTTTTTTTTGTGATGTGATCCTTTGAATACAATTCCGTTATCATTTCAGGAAGAAAGAATACATGGGACGGTGCCGGCTCTAGAACCGGTGCTCGAGTTCTCTCGCCATTTGAAGACCTCGATCGAGCGCAGGGCTTGCTCTTGGAGATAAGGATGCTCACTGGAACTGGAGCTGCCAATGAACTGATCGCCAGCATCCTCGACAAGCATGTGTTGCTCCTTTTGGCGAACGGAATTTCCTGAGATCAAGCTCTCTCTGAAAAGAACAATAACGAGGACGAACACCATGAACTGGATTGTTCCTCCTCCTCCTCCGGAAGATGCCATGCGATGCGAAGAAAAGGAGAGTGAGGCTCTGCCCTTTTCAATTCGGGTTCGAAAGGTAATATAACCCTCGCAGATGCTCGCACATTCCAAACGGCAGATTCCGAGATACCATCACAGTAACCACACTCTTCTCTGTACGTACGTGACTACGATTGATATTTGTTGCATGTTGACAAGAAAATCCGCTCAAAACATTCGGCCTGCAAGTTGATGATTTAATATATGCAAGAAATTTCTCGCCGCAAGTAAGGAACCTACAAAGGTGGCGTAACGATTTTCATTTCTAACCCAGCTCCGATGGAGCCTTCGCCACGATGGAGAGCGCGTGGAGCCCGCTCTTGAGCTCGTCCTCCAAGAGCTGATACACCCGCCTGTGCCGCTTCACCACGCTCTGGCCTTCAAACTCTGCCGCCACAACCTTGACGTTAAAGTGCGTCTCGCCGCCGGTGGTTCCACGAACAGCAGCGTGCCCGGCATGCTGGTGAGACACATCCTCCACTTCCAACACCGTCGGCGCTAGCGCTTCCTGGAGCTTCTTCTCAATCGCCACGGACCGTGAGGACGCTGGCGGCGAGCTCTCGGCTATGGTGGATGGTGATCGCGTAGCAGCAGAAGCAGCAGGAGCAGCAGGCGTAGCAGCGCTCCTAGCATCATCACTCTCCTTGGGCGACGCCAAGACGGCGGCGGTGGCCGGAGAGGAACCGGCCGACGAATCCATCTCCATCTCCAAGGCCTTCTTCTGCATCAATCTAAACATGTTGTAGAAGCCGCTGGTGCGAGCGGGCGTGAGGCTCTGCTTGAGGCCGAGCATGTGGAAGAAGGCCGGAGTCAAGCGGATGATCTCTCGGGGCCTGGATCCCGACAGCCCTTCGACGAGGAGCGCCGCCAAGCCCTTGGTGAGGATGGAGTCGGAGTCGGCCTCGTATAACACCTTGCCGTGGTCACCGAGGTAGGCTCGCACCCAGACGCGGGAGACGCAGCCCACCACCTTGTTGGCGTCCGTGCGGTGCTCGTCCGGCAGCGGTGGAAGCCTCTTGGCGTAGTGCATCAACTGCTCGTACGCTGCGCGTTGGTCCCGCACCGCTGCAAACAGGCTCACAATCTCACGCAGCTTATCGGGGAGTACCTCCTCTTCTAATTGCTCTCCAGCTGCTGCTGCTGCTGCTGTGCAATTCACTCGAAATACCTTTGCCGATCTGGAGCTGGCAGCAATCGCGCTCAAGCTCACGCCCCCTAGCGGCGATGGCGCCGCCGAGACTCGCAAGAGCGCCGCCCTCTTGCCTGGCGCCGGCCAATCCCCTACGCACAACCAGGAACCCTGAAAATGTCTAGCAGCCTCCATTCTCTCCCCTAGAAACCCTAATTCGAATCTTAGAGGAATCTCTAGAGTACCTTTACTTGGTCAACCAGATAACCTAATTTCTATGGAATTCTTTTGTCAGCGTTTCTTTTGCATCAATCAACGTTTTCTATCCTCTAATTCGTCTGTCTAAGTTTGGAAGAATTTTTCTTGATGAACTTCAATCATCTGGCAGGTTGTAGAGAAAATGTGAATGGCACGGGCTGTTTGGATCCCCAGAAGCTGGGAATTCCAAGACTCGGATCCAGCAAGTCCGAGTCCTTGTTCACGAGAGCCAGATCCCTCCTCCCAGACGGCTCAAACCCCCTGTACGGCCCCCTGTATCCATCCACGAGATGCAAGAGCCCCTCCAAATTGTGCCACCCCGCCAGGTTCGCGCCACGCCTCAGGTACGGTGACACGCCACAGTCGAGCGCCACCTCCGTGCCGACGTGCGAATATGCCCAGGGAATCATCTCCCCGATGGCGCCACTCATCCACTGGCGCTGCTCGTTGACAAAGATCCCGGGGACCTTTGGGACGATGTCCCGCGTGTTGACGACGCGCAGGACCTTGAGATCGAGCTCCCGGCACCGCGCGGCGAAGCAGCGATTGCCCACCCGCGGTGCGGAGAAGGAGACGACGGTGGCGGGGATCTGGGTCTTATCCCCGGCGATGCCAAGCTCCGCGAGATCATAGGCGCTGAGCAGCGCCAGCGCGCCGCCGAGGCTGTGGCCAGTGACCGTGACGCTCACCGCCTCGCCGTCGGCCTGGAACTGGGCGATCAGGCGGCGGAGCTCGCAGATGAGCTGCTGCCGCGCGCTCAACTTGTTGTATCGACTCCGGGACTTGCTGGCCGTGTAGATGTCGAGGAAGCCACTCTCCACCTTGACGCCCGCCGTGGATCTGTCCCGCGGATCCAAACCCACTGGCATGAGATAGTCCTGGAGATTCTCCAGCCACTCCACGCCAGTCACGGTTCCTCGCCACGCGATCACGATGTGCCGCCGGCCAATCTCGGCAGTCAAAGGCGGACGACTCACGGCCACGAAGCCCATCCAATTGGAATCTCGGCTCCATGGCTCTCCTTGCTCCTCGTCTCTGGCTCTTGGCCTGGGAAAGATTCTCGGCAGCTCTAGATCCGTGGTGGCGTACAGATATTTGGTGATCTCGTACTCTTGGTCCCGCGCGGCTACAGTCTTTCCCAGGAGCTCGCTGGGACTGTAGCGGCAATTTCCACGCTTGCGCGAGTGGTGGTCGTTGTCGAATCCATCGTAGCAGGCTTGAGACAGATCGCCGTACTTGAGAATCTCGCGCCGTAGCTCCTCGTCCATGAAATCGCTGCATGGCCCTGCGGCGTCGCCATCCTGGTAGCTATCCACGGCTTTGCGAATTTTGGGTGACGGGGGCAGCAATCCCAGCCAATTGTCAGCTCCTTGCAGCTCTCGCCACTTACTCCACAGGCGACCACTAGGTGGTCTGAGCGCTCGCTTTGCGTGAATCTTCGATGCGAATTTGAAAGATTTGTGGGTCGATAGTGCCAGACAGGTGGAATCCTTCACATCTAAACACTGTGGATGTGAAGGCGGGCCAATGATCTTAGCGCTGCTGGGAGCTGCGGCCATGGCTGCCATTGTGATAAGAAATTCCAGTCTCAGCGATCCCTATTATAGTCATGTCAGCCGCGTGTTTGACCTGATCAGTCAAAGTCCTTTTACTTTGTCTGAATTTTGAACTTTCAAACTGAAACGCTCGAGCTCATCCTGTCACTCTTCAACATTGACAAATTCTTTCTTTACGCAAATCCATTCATTATTGTATTCACAACTTGTACAGGCTCCGAAATATGCTGTTTGTCACTAAACATTGTTCTTTACGCAATGCAATTATTGTGCCAACCTTCGCTACTCTCTTTCCGTAGCACAGTCCCTCAGTGACGTCGACGATATTTGCAACAATCTTCGTCGTCTCCATCGTGGAGTTCCCTGTGAGGCTGCACCCATCTTCCAGATAAATCCTTTACCAGACCCTTGTGCATCTCTTGCCACCAAAAACCCGGGATACCCATTTCCTCGATCAAGAAATCGGCAGCCTTGTTCACCAGCGCTGGATCCCTCTGCGTCATTGAAGAAAACGGCTTGTCTGGGCCGTGATACCCATCTAAGAGATGCAAGTGGGCTTCCAAGTTGTGATGCCAAGACGGATTCATCGTGGGCTGGAGCAATGGCGAGTGCGTGCTGCAAACCTGGAGCTGCTGGCCGACGTGAGAATAGGTCCATGGGAGATTGTCGATCACCGCCCGGATGAATGCGAAGCTCTTCTCGTTGAAGAAGATCCCCGGAGTTTTGGGGACCAAGTCCTTCTCGTTGACAACGCGAAGGACTTTGATACCGAGCGAGTCGCATCGATCACGGAACGCATCGTTCCCTACCCGGGGGGCGGCAAAGGAGAAGACGGTGACGGGAATGTTGTTGGTCGGA